CATAGATACGTATACGTTTGTGAATGCGTGCATACACACAAAAGCAAGTTCCTCTAGTTTAAATATGTCTGATTAGCTTTGGTCTTTTAAATTTTTACTTTAAATAACATATAGACCCATGTAATTTTACACAAATATACAAAGGAAGTCATGCATGCTGTTTTTATTGTAGCCTTTTTGTTCTTTCCCATTTTTTTTAAATGTTCATTCATTTTTGAGAGAGAGAGAGAGAGAGCACGTGCATGTGCACACGCACGCACACCTGAGCAGGGGAGGGGCAGAGAGGGAAACACAGAATTCAAAGCAGGCTCCAGGCTCTGAGCTGTCAGCACAGAGACCGACGTGGGGCTCGAACTCATGAACCGCAAGATCATGATCTGAGCCGAGGTCAGATGCTTAACCAACTGAGCCACCCAGGTGCCCCCTTTCTTTCCCATTCTAGCCTCCTCCCTTTTGTTATATCAGTTCTACATGCCACCTCTTCATTTCCTGAGTATTTTATATGCAAGCAACCAAATATATGTCCTTCCATGTTTTTCTCCGTGCTCACATAATCATACACACACACGTGCATACACACACATACACATACACACATATGGGTACATATTTTTATCCTCAACAGCTCCACTCATCAAAGATGCCTAAGGAAAACCTGCAGAATGCATGAATGCCTTCTGGAATGATGGAGTGTGACGTTACCTTTCAACTAAGCTTTGGCCTCTTTACCTGTCTTTCCAAATCTTTAAAAACATTTCTTCATAAATAACAGGAACCTAGACTCACAGTCACGGGGGAGTTTTGTTCTCCTTGCCTACCATTTCAGTCTTCCTTGGTCTCCTTTCACAGTTGCTCCAGAGCCCAGATGTGGCAGCCACAGTGGATGAAGTCACAGTGCACATTTTGGCAAACTGGTTCCAGTGTGAGCAGCCAGCCATAGTAAAGCTATTGCTGCGGGTGGTGGAGATCTTTGCAAAGCATGGGAACATGGTGAGATGGGGCGGGGCCAAGGGCATACTCTCAAGAGATGTTGTCACCCAGGGAAGCAAGAGAGAGGTCCAGAGGTCCGGTGTGTCATTACACACAGGGACGGCCAAATTCTTGGGATCAGAGAGAACCCTCATGACGCCAGTCCACTGAATATGGGGGTCAAGGACCTGAACCATTCGTGCTTTCTCTGTCCCAGGAAAGGAAAGAGAAGTGTTTTCCATGGGTCATTTCAGGGTAGAGACCAAGCCAATTCCAAGATCCCAGAACATCCTGGTGTCCTGGAGATTAATCTCATCACCAGGGATGACAAAGGCAATGGAGACAGATGCTTATGGGCATAGTGGGAAGAGAGCTCTTGTCTGTCTTCTCCCCCTTTTCCATGAGGACAAAGGACTGCCACCCATTTACCGGCCCGGTCCCAGTCCTAGAGCGTGTCAGCACTGGCTCTTGTTTGTGGATCAGCCTGAGTTGAAGTGCGAGTCCCTTGATGTGGCGCGAATTGTTCTGACTCCTCATTTCCTGAGCAGCTGTCCCTCGGCAGGTGCGACAGCTCCACATCCTCGAGCCCTACGTGCTGGGCTGCTGCTACTCCCTGGACAGTGAAGTTGTGATGGAGACTTTCACGGTGCTCAAGTGTCTCATCGAGCACCTCACCTGGAAGTACTCCTCCTCATTCCTTATCCAGCTCACCTTCATGCTGGAGCCCCGCTTTGAGGAGGTGAAGCCCTGCGAGGCACCATTTCCCTTCTCTGGGTGTCCAAGGGAGTTGGGCGGAATTATCTTGAAAGGGCCTTCCAGCCTTTCTGTGATGCTATTAGGTAAAGGTCTGATTGTGTACGGCCTCTTGTGTAATGGCTGTAAAAGGGGTAAACGGCAGCGAGAGCAGACGCAGTGACAAGGGAGAATTAGGTGCCATACAATCAAAGCAGAGAACTGGGGGGAGAGGAGGGTGCATAGGAGCATGTGGTGGGAGGGGCGGGCTCGGGGGCCACCTGTCCCTCCTGAGTGGACAGAGGTGGAGGTGTCTTTCCTACATGCGTGGGTATGTGTGTCTTCTCACCCAGGAGTCTGAGCCTCTGCGCTTGATGGCCTTTGAGATCTACGGGGCTCTCTTGGCCAAGGTCAAGAGGACAGCACTTGTCTTCCCCTTGAAGCACCAGGTCCTCAACTTGATAGTCCTCCTTGTGCTCCACCTGGAGGACACGAACGTCAACGTGGCTCAGGTGAGAGGCCAGGCCGTGGAGCCTGGTCTTCCAGCCCCAGTTGTCATGGGGGGCAAATGCTAGCAGGTGTTAGTGCTAAGGAAGGGGCCGTAGCAAGATTGGAAGGTGCTGCTGAAGGAGTCGCTTTGTCTCCGACCTTGGAGAGTTGCAGTGAGAGGTTAGATGTGACCCAGTGCTTGCACCGGGGTTTTTTCCAGCTCCTGGCTCTGTCCAGCCGGCCACCAGCACACAGTGGAATGTGAGGGGGGGGTGTGGAGACCCCAGGGAGGAGAATCCTACCGTCAGGCACAGTGCCTCTCCTTGGCTCTCTGCCCTTGGCCTTCCCTCCAAGCTGTTCCCTGCACACCCCTTCGTACTGAACTGAGAGGGGCCTCCCTGAGCAGAAAGGCTCCCATGAGGTAGCATGGTGGGCAGGACGGAGAGAGCCTGGACCTGGCCCCTGTTCTGGGGGGCCAGGGCTGTGGGCTGCAGCTGGGGAAAGCTGCAAAGTGGCCGATGCAGTTTGTACAGGACACTAAGTTTCCACATGGGGCTACTTTCCATGGCGAGGCCTCTGATGGGCACGTGTGACAAGCTGCTGGGCCGGCGTTGGCATCGGGACATTACCTTTGTGGGGTGGAGCCCCTCCCAGGGAACCCAGTGGAGAGATTCCTGACAGCACCCACCCCGATTCAGAGGAGTGACCTTGTCAGTTGAGGGATCAAGACTTTGGGGAGCTCTGTTTCAGAGAGACTATTTGGGGGGAAGCCGTGTGGTGGGTGCGTGAGGCTAGGAGGTGGATAGTTTCATTGCCCGGGCTCTAGGGGCAGCACCACAGCAGCTGGGAAAATCACTGCAACCACATGTTTTGACCTGCTCATTAGTGGGAAACAGGTGTAAGCAAAGCCAAACTGCCTACAAGACCCGGCCTTCCTCCTCACCCCTGGGTCCTTCTGGGTTCACTGGAGACTTCCATCCTCCAGGGCTGGACTCACTGCTGTCTGTCTCCCGTGTTTGTGCCCCTCCGGGTCGTCTCCTCCCAGCCCTGCCCCTGTAACTTCCTCATGCCTCACCTTCCTGTCCCTCCAGATCTGCCGGCTTGCCCTCTGCCACACAGCCACCATACTGGGCTGGTCAAGACTCAAAGTGATATTTGCTGAGAAAGATGTGTGGACTATCCTCAGAGCCCTGGTGAGGCCACAGCTTACTCACCCTTCTGCTCCTGTGCAGGGACGGTGGGATGGCCAGCAAGTCTGCATTGTTTGGGGTTTGCAACAGCTGTAGTTCAATAATGAGATGCTCCCCGAGCACCTATTTAAGCCCAGCACCTAAACCTGGTTCCTGCCCTCCCATTGGTCCTCGTCTAAGTTGGGGAGCTCGGCACACAACTAGACAATTTCAGAATACAGTGGTGAGGGCTAAAAGGGAGGAATGTACTTCATAGTACAGAGGAGGGGTGCCCAGCCCAGTCTGGGAGTTGAAGGCTTCCTGGAGGAGGTGTCATCTGGGAAGAGGGGCCGTGGAAAGCAGGATATCACTTAGGCAAAGAGAAGCAATCTGTAGTGCAGGCCAAGGTAACCACGAGCCTGGTTGCACCCATCTAGGGAAATCACATAGAGGGAGAAGCATATGGTTCAATATCAGGATCCCAGGAAGCATCACCTCCAAGGATCCCATGAAGAAAACTAGGAAAGGAAACCAGGCGAGGGAGAGGCGGGTGGTGGTCACTTAGGAAGGAGATAGTTTCAGGAAGCAATGGATGGTTAACGGTGTAGTGACAATAGCAATGAGTCCAGGGAGATAAAGACTGGATGTGCCCGTTGGCTTGGGACCGTGAAGCCAGATCTGGTCAGCGGGGTGGAGGAAGGAGACCAGCATGCAAGAAGCGGACCATTTCTCAGGGTAACTTCAAACCTGGGGAAGATGAGCAGTGGGTGGGGCTCTGCCCTGCTCCACCTGCGACCAGAGCAGCCTCTCTTCTGCCGGTTCAGAAAATTAGGTCAGTTAGGATTTTTATTGAAAGAAAAGGTTTTCTGCCAAAAAAGTCTGACAAACCATGGACGTAGCCTCGCATTTAAGACCTGGGGCTGCAGTGCAAGGGGGAGGAGGAGAGTAGCCAGGGGATGGGGTTACGGTTGGTGGTCTTTGCAAAAGACAGGACACGTCATCCCCCAGAACCTTCAAGGGAGAGAGTCTGGATGAACGCAGAAGTAGGTGCATGCCTAGGCAGGGGAAGGTATTAAAACACTTAATTATATGTGGCCCTGCCAGGCTCTGTTTAAACAGAAAGGTGTAGACATGATTAATTCCATTGCAGTTTAAAGCAGATGACCATGAGATTGCAGATTTCAAGCCAAGCCATTAATAAACAATATGGAAAAAGAAAACAATATGGAAACAACTGAGTTTAGTGCTCTATGGTTGGGAGAATAGGGGAAAAAATGTGCAAGCAAAAGATTGGGGTAAATCTATTTGAGTTTCATGCCCCCCACAGGGAAATCGATCCCCATATCAATCCAGGAAGGCTTCATAAAGGAAACAAGACTTCAGGAGCTGAGGTGGGAGGGCCTGGAGATGTAGAATTTTTTTTAAATATTTATTTTTTGCAATCTCTATACCCAATGGGAGGCTCACACTCCTGACCCCAAGATCAAGAGTTGCATGCTCGGAGCCATCCAGGCACCCCTAGAATGTTTTGACAGGATTTTGCACTGAGAAGATGTCTGCAGACCGTCTGAGGGGGGCGGGCAGAAGAACTGACGATAAGCTCCTTACCTAATGCGGCTCCTGTTCTTACAGCTGAAGCAGGAGGAAAACAAAGCCTTCTGGTTTCTGAAGCAGTGCTTGACTCTCTTCAAGAGCCCGCAGGCCCCCATCCGCCAGGCAGCTGTACGATTTGCAGGTACCACTTCCTGTGTCCTTGTCCCAGGTGCTTCGAATAGCCTGAGGACCTTCCAGCAGAAGGGGCCAGGTGCTGGCAGACTGGGCCGGCAAAGCTCCCAAGGGGCGGGACGTCAGGGTGTGGGTGCTGACTGGTGAGGACTGCTTCATGTCACCCCAAGGAAAGACATCTTTAGTGCAGAGAGATACGCACCCCCTCCAGCCCAATTTGCTGATGACAGAAGAAGGGGAAGTGATTTGTACTTGTGGGAAAAGTCCAGGCAAGGCCAGTTTGGGGGAGGGAAAGAGAGCCCAAAGGAGGTGTGTGTTTGGGGAAGGGACACAACAGCTGGGGCAGCTAGGGTCCTGTGGCCTTTGTGGGGCCCCTGAAGTGCTCCATGTGCCCCTGTAGGCCAGATCATCCAAACCCTGGATGCGGAAGAGGCCAATGAAATTGAGGAATTATATACAGGTGAGTGGCAACCCAGTCGCTATTCCTCTCTTAAGGATTAGTGGTGTTGGTGGGGACACTTCAGAAATGAGGGCGAATGGGCAGGTGGTTCATGAAAATTATCACTGGACAGAATGAAGAGGTAGGCTCATCTTTTTTAAAAAAAAATTTGTAAAATGCTTATTCATTTTTTTGAGAGAGACAGAGCACAAGAGGGGGAGGGGCAGAGAGAGAAGGAGACTCAGAATCCGAAGCAGGCTCCAGGCTCTGAGCTCTCAGCACAGAGCCCGATGCGGGGCTTGAACTCATAAACCCACAAACCATGCGCTCATGACCTGAGCTGAAGACAGACGTTTAACCAACTGAGCTTCCCGGGTGGCCAGAGGTAGATTCATCTTAAAGGCAGTTAGCTTTGGGGCATGGGCCAGAGCACTTCTGCTCCTCATGTCCACTCACTCACCCTCACCCTCACTCCAGGCCATTCATCAGTGAGGACGGTTCCTTGAACTCTTTAATTTCTTCTTCTTCTTTTTTTAATGTTTATTTATTTATTTTGAGAGAGAGAAAGACAGACAGACAGACAGACAAGTGGGGGGAGGGGCAGAGAGAGAGAGACTCCCAAGCAGGCTCCACACTGTCAGTGCAGAGCCTAACTTGGGGCTCCATCTCCTGGATCGTGAGATCATGACCTGAACTGAAATCAAGAGCTGGGTGCGTAACAGACTGAGCCACCCAGGCACCCCAGGTCCTTGAACTCTTGATAAAAGGGCCATCATTGGATGATGATGATTTCTCACTTGGGGGACACAGGGGTTCCCAGCCCTTCCCTTGTGGAGACCCAGAACTGCTCCTGTTATGGTCCATGTATTCTCCCTCCACCTGAGACCACCCTGAGACATGACCCCCTTACCACACCATGCTCTTCCCTTTCCCTCTGCCTTGTTTCTCTCAAGCACCATACCTCATCCACTGCTGGGTTCCCTGCTACCAACCGGAGTCCTTTGAAGTCAGAGGACTTCACTCCGGGGTATTCTCCGGAAAAGAGGACAGTGCGGCTGGGCAGGAGGGGTTGGTGGAGGGGGCCAAATAGGTTGGTTGTGGCTGCAGGACAAGAAGCAGGTGGCTTCACATCTCCCTGAGCCTGGGGCAGGTGCGTGTCATTGTGCTTGGGACGGAGCAGTGTGGACTCCCTCCCAGCAGGAATTCCTGGTCATATTTTAAAAGCCACTGGTCCCCATCCCCCTGCGCTGCCCCTCTCTGCACAGCATCCCCGTGAGCCTGCCAGCCGGGCCCAGACCTTGCGCCCAGCCCAGCGGCATTGCTTTTCCCAAGCACCTTAGCCGTCTCCGTGTTACAGCCCTAAAGTACTTGCGGGAAGACCCGGACACCATGGTAAGCTGCCTCGCCATTCAGACCTTCTACATCCTGGAGGCCAAGGAGAAGCTGCTGGTCAACACCCCTACCTCCTGCTTCTGCACCAGGAGGCCTCGAAAGAGCTACTCCTGAGCCTGCGTCCTTGGGTCCTGGCCGGAGCGAACGAGACTGTGACAATGGCGACAGCGGGGCCAGACCCCAGAGCCCTGCCCTAGAAGTGGATGTGTGTCCCTGCAGGACCTCTGTAATAAAAGGAGGAAGCATGAATTTCTGTGGCGGTGTTTCCCGGCCTTTCTAGTTGGTTCTCTGGGGCAGGGCCCTTCATTGTGAGCTGCCTCCTCCACAGTGACCACCTGGTCCAGGCTGGCCTCTCCCAGCTCCACCCCTACTGCCCCTCCCCCACATAGCCTGGGGATCTAAGGCGGGAGCGTGGGACGTTCCAGTAACATCAGCTTGAACTACAAAAGGGGAGGAAAGTGATACTGGGACACGTCGGGTATTCTAGACTCTGGTTGCACTGGGCAGGGTTCCCCGCGGCAGGCCGCAGGGTCCACTCTGGCAGGTTTAAGCAGGACAGTGATTATTAAAGGGGCATTAGTCAGCTCATAAAATATCCCGGGAGATCAGAGAGTTTGGACAGTACCCGTCAGCAGCAGGGCAGCTGTATAAAAACACCAGTGGGGCTGCCCCTTGACACAGCCCAAACTACAGCCCGGGTAACCACACTTGGGCCTGGCTCTCGGAAGCTCGGCCACCATTTGTGCAAAGAGTCTGATGTGTCCTCCTCCCACTCCCAGGGCTGAGCTGGGTGAGCGGAGACTATCTCCTGGGGCTCCTGTTAGAATCCGTCTTAACCCAGGGCTGTCTGACAGTCCCTGGAGTTTATCCTCAGGTTTACACAGGGTAATTTGATACTCCCACGCCATCCCCACCCCCACCTCTGAGCCAGGGGTCACCTGTTACCCCCAGCCTTCAGTCAGCCAGGCCCCAAAGCTCTGGGCACAAGGACAGTAACCCAGTGTCCTAAAATGTGGTCTCCCTCTTGGCCAAACCTGCTGACTGGGAAGGAGCTCGGGCCACAGCGAGGCAGATATGCTCAGGCTCTCACCCTGCAGTGCTCAGCTTCTGTCACCTGCATCCAAGCCCCCAGGAACGTGCAGAGTTCTCCCCTTGCTCACCTCTCCACCCCTACACGCCCCGCTTTCAGTGGTGGCCACGCCCCTCAAGCACTATCGCAGCCTGGGTGCAGCTGCTGGAGTCTCCTGGTCCTGCTCGCAAACAAACCTCGGAGGCAGGCAGCCCACACGAGGGGCTGCACTGGCCAGAAGACTCTTCTCATGCACTCCCCTTGGCCTGGTCTCTGGGTGTCATATCAGTGGCCACTGGCTGGCGCTGGGGGCCTTATCAGCTGCACCTTTTTATAGACGGAGGTGAGCAGAGAATAAGGGCAAAAGACAGTGGTACATTTGCGTCCCCTTCCCTGCACTCCGAAGCACAATCGGGTTAAGTGTGTCAGTACAGGACCCACTTCAGAGACTGTTCTGATGCTTCTCCCTCCCTCTGCCCCCCTCCACCCCCCCAATCACTCCCTCATGTTGGTAAAGCCACTTTAACAGGCACGATGGGAAGAGACCACATGGGGAAAGTAATGGAAGTATGTAAGGCCATTTCTCTGCTGGTAGGATTGTGGCCAACTCTTGGCTTCTCTGGGCCTCAATTCCTCTCATCTGTAAATTGAGAGCGTTGGGAAAAACCATCTTTAATGATGTCACCAAGCCTGACAATGAATGGCTCCTATCAAATTCTGAGAAGTGCTCTTTCATCCTAAATAGTATTTCTCTACTTCACACTCTTTCCAAATTTTCTATAATAAGCAGATATTACTATTATAAGTCGGGGGGGGGGGAGGAAACCAAATCCCTCATTGAGGAATGAAAGCACAGTGTCCCTTAACCTGGTGTCCTGCTTCCCTACTCCTACGTGCTTTGGCATCTTCAAGACACAGGGTGGCCTGAGTTTGGAAAAACCACCTTTTGAGGCAAACCCTCTGCAGGGCAAGGGGAGCGGCACAGTCACAAGGTAGAACCAGTTGGTTGGAGTCTGTTCCAGGGCCCCGCTCCTGACAAGTTTAACAGCTCCTGGGCCTCCATTTTCCGGTTTCACCCACACCCACCACCCCCAAGGCGTACAGCTGGCTACACCCAATCGTCACTTCCCACAGTCAACAGTGGGCTCTGTCCCACAGGGTGGGATCTTCTGTAAAAGAAGAGCCTGTGGGGAGAAAGGGCGGGACAAGACCCGGTGGGGGGTGGGGTGGGGCCGGGAGGGTGGCATGGGTAAGCGTGGTCAGGCAGCCAAAAACAACCATCCTTAGAAGCTACCCTTGCTTCCCAGAGTGGGGAGGCTCCTGCGCCTGCTGGAGGGCCTCGGGAAGTAAGGGCAACTCTGCCCACCGGGGTCCCCCTCTGTGGTTCGGGGTCTCCTTTTACTTACCGAGACCCTTCTGTGTGAGGCCCAGGGAGCCTCTTGGGTGGAGCCCCCTCCCCCCTTCGGGAGTCACCTCCCACCCACGGTGACTTCTGCCTCCCACGGCCCCACAGAACTCACCGGCTGGGTCACCTGTCAACAGCCATAGGTCTAGATAACCGGCAAGCACTGTGTAGGTTGACAGGACAAACTTGGTTTTATATTTGGAAAACACAGCAGAGGGAGGCCCTATTGTCTTCACAAGGCAAGAATCAGACAGTAAAGCTTTCAGAATAGTCTTGGCTGGTGACGAAGATGCAGATGGTCCCCCAGAGCCCACTATGCCCAGGGGATAGGCCAGAATCACCAGGAGTTGGTGGCGTGATCTGTGGTTATTGGAAGGGAAGGTGACTCTTACGTAAAGGACAACTTCAGTTTAGATATTTCATGGCATTCCATAACTCAGCGCTCCCAAATATGCCCGTTCTTTCCTTACTTTGTTCACTCGCTCACCCACTCGTTCAAGGCCTGTTTGGCGTCTGTCGCCGCGAGGCCCTGACAGGGAATATGGAAATAACCAGAATAAAATCATTAGCCTGAAAAAGAAAAGAGGATGAGTTTTATGGTATGGGAATTACATCTCAATGAAACTTGTATTAAAGATGTTTTCTTGAGAACGAAGCCTGGCAAACTGGATAACTGCACGCAGAGCTAACGTAGGGTCAATGGGACCGTTTGATTTTAGATCGAATGAAGCACAATCTAAAATTATATGGGGGCCATGGGTTCCTGGACATCAGTGGTAACAGGCAAAATACATGGAGTTAAACGCAGGTGAGTATCTCAGGTGTATCATAACGATCCTGGTCTCCTGGGGGGAGGGCACATTGTAGGTTTGCTTGGCGTCCTCTTACACGTCTTTATATGTTGAAAATAATGAGACTAAGAGGCAGAGACAGGATTTTAGGGCCTTAAGAAAAAAGGAAATATTTGTTTTTAAAAATTGAAAAGCACTGATCTAGAAACAAAAATCAAGACCACTGCATGAATGTTTTCTTTTACGAACTTTTAATATTTGTCTTCTCTTCCTAAGTGTCAAGGGAAGGAAATATATCCGGTATGTATCATGCACGGCAGCCTCCAGGTTCTGGGAAAGGCGCTCAATGCTTCCATGAGAGGAAACGGGTACTGTGGCTGGGAAGGTCTGGGTTCCAATCCTGGCTCTCTCTCTTTCCAAGCTCAGATCCTGGACAAGTCACTTCCTTGTTGAGACCTTCCCATTTCAGAAAATGAGAACACTACCTATCACCCAGGGGAGTGAAGAGCTAAGGAAGAATGCCCGAAATAGTGCCTGGATTACAGTGGGTGCTCATTAAATGCTGATGCCCTCTTCTAGCAAATGTACCCGTCCCGGGAGACAACGTATAGAGTCTGCAGGGAATGCAACACTCTCAACGCTGCTTTTTAATTGAATAAGCCCCAAACTCACAGCCCAGGAACTCTCACGCAGAGGCTGGCCCCGCCTGCCTCGCACCGACCTCCCACCCGAGAGAAGGGCTGCCAGCTAAAAGCTGGCAGCTCTCAGGGGCCACGTCACAACAGATAACGGTCATTTGGGTTTTATTTATGACAACTTCTCTGAACACACACATCCAGTCTGGGAACGGAAATGTACAGCATGAGGCTTAAATAACTTTCATACACTATGTACAGTCATCGGCAAAGGTACAAAACATATACATCTTGTGCTAGCCACATAGCGAGGAGGGCCTAAGCCAAATGAGGCCCTGCAGCCTGGGCAGGGGGTGAGCACTAGAAAAGAGCTGGTGGGCAGGGCAGGGCCCTGATTCACTTCAGGGGTCTTCTCTGACCCTTGGCTCTTCTGGAAGTAGTTCCCACTTCCCTGCAAAGCTCTCAGGACAAGGGTTCGAAAAATCGGACTGGGGTATGGTAAGGGCTGGGGGTTCATCTGAGTGCCGGGAATGGGTAGGGGGTGGGAGATAGAACAAAGATGCCGTAGAAAACAGAACTTTCCTTGTAGCTTTTGTCCTTGCACAAAGAGAGCAGTGAAGGATGTGGGAGCCAGGAGAGGAAGGCCTGTGGGGCCACTGGCCATGCCCTGGCTCCTGAGGCTGGGCCAGGAGGCTGCGCTAAGCTAGGAAAGCATAAGCAGTTTCCTGTTTAGGATGGCAAGCCAATAGATGCCACAGATTTGGGTCACTTGGCGGGAAGAAACTCACCAGGGCAGGCCCTGCCCACACAAACACGATAGAGAACACACCGGGCCCAGGCGGGGGCTGAAGAAGACAGGGGCTGTGCCTGCACCCAGCACAGACCGTGGCAGAGGCTGCCTCCAAGAGTTGGCATTGTCTCCATGATGGAAGAGGGCAGGGCACTTCTGACTTCACGGCAGCGGCCTGCCTACGTCTCCACCGCGCTGGGTGGCGTGAGAAAGTCCCAGCAACAGTCTTCCCTACAGCGGTTTTGTGCTTGAAACTGCCCTCTGCCCAAGTGACACTGCCCCAGGCAGGCAGCAGGGCCAGACACCCAAGGGTTGCCCAAGGTTGATGCCGCAGTGATGGTGGGAGGGCGCGGGGACCTCTCCCAGATCCACAAACGTCCCCTCCTAAGGGGCTAACGGTGGCGCCGCGGCCACGTCAAAGGCTTGGGTGTGTCTTTCCTCTTTATTGGTAATCTCCAAAGGCAGCTCCAGGTGCTCCCTTGGGGAACTCTGGCTGTCCTGGAGGGACCAGCCACTCAGATGAAAGCAAACACCGAGCTGGTTAATACTGCGAACAGAGCCTGGCGCGGGACTGTGTGGAGCAGCCCATGGGCGGTCAGCTTCAAAAGCATTCGAGGGGGCTCGGCCCAGATGACAGGCACCGTGGCTCTGGGCTCCTTAGGCTCAGTAGGGCTGGGACCCAGCCTGGGCTCAGGCATTTAAAGATCTAGGGTGTGGGGTCGAGTAAGGGAGCTACTCCAGGGCCCACACATTCTGATGTGGCTGGGCCACCGGTGGCCCCGATTCAAGGCTGCAGACGGGCAAAGAAAAGTAAGAAGTCATATGATGAGCCCAGAGTTAGGACAAGCCACGGGCCGAGCCCTGGTCTGAGCGGGGGCAGGCCCCTCCAGACACAGACATACTCAGTCGACCTCTAGACAGAGCCAAGCTAGGACGAGCCTCCCAGACCCAGGTCTGCCCAGGCCACCTGTCACAAGCCTTACTATTGTGCTCAAATCACAACCATTTTGTGCTTCCAACCTTTAGGATGTTGGGGGCCTGCCCCCTAACTATGTACCTTGGATATCCCTGAAGGAGCAAGCAGAGACTCCAACGCTCTCTGAGCACAGCTTTGGAAGGGCTCAGGGCTCCCAAGGGACTTCAAGTTTAGAACCAGTGATACTCTCCAGGACAGCAGAGCCAGCCCGCCATGAGGTAGCTGAGCCATCAGAAACAGCAGGAAATGGGCAACGACACTGAGCACCTCTCGCAGGCCGTAAGGTCACATCTCGCGCAAGAACAGGCCTTGCAGCTACAGTACAGTCGCCTCAGGCTGGGGCTTCCCTGGCCCATGCGGGCACCGCAGTCTTTTCTGTTTCTACAGTTTGTAAACAGTCATGCAGACAGATTCTTTCTTACAGGTTGCAAGGTTGAAGCTTTCTCATCAGGTGGGGAGAAGGATGGGGAGGAGGAGAGGTGCTTACTTCCAAGCGGCCGAGGGAGCTGCTGGGCACGCCCCCCCCCCCCCCCCCCCCCCCGTGATGGCCAGAGGAGGAGGAAGGATTTCCAGCCATCACAGACAGACTGTCCCCGGCTCCTTAGGGAGGCCAGGATTCAAGGGTATGTGCTTCCTGCACATGAGCTGACCCAGACTCCACCACCGTGTCCAGCAGGGGCCACTCACAGCAGGACAGCCTTCTTAGCCTCAGGGGCAGCTCTGAACAGGGTGGAGGCAGAGCTGGGGACTCAGGCCCCCACAGGTGTTTTTCCCTTTCACAGCTAAGACAGCCTCCTCGGCCCAGGGCGCCAGCACCCTCCCATGCTTGGTACCACACCGAGGGGGCTCCAATCCCCTGACCAAATAGGGAGAGGCACAGAGGACAAACACAGAGCTACCTCCAGAAAGTCTAAAAGTCACTGCATATCTCAGAACAGAGTTGGGGCTCCTGGCCCCGCCTCAATGCGGACAGGATGCACAGACCAGTTAAGCATTGGAAAAACAGTGGGGGGTTGGAGCCCAGGGATGGACGGATGTCCTGCGACTCCTCCCAAGGCCTGATCCTGTAAATTCAGAATTGCCCCGACAGGGGGAGCTGGAACACAGATTTAACCACATGCTTGGAACCTTGAGTCCACAGCCCCAAGGCAAAAAGAAACAACGAATGAACTCCCTCTTTGCTGCTAATCTAAAGAGGATGACCTCTTGCCCCATGCCAGCTTTAAGGCTTGAAAATGTGTCTCTTGAATAACCAGAGAGAAAGAGACTGGAAGGACTTGCTGCCCAGTCCGGGTGAAAACACAGGTGAGCTGGGTAGGGGGCCGGGCCATCCTCACCATCCAAGCCACTTCCTGGTAGACATAATCCTCTGAGCTGCTTCCTACGTGGCCCACATGGGACATTGGGAACAAGGGACCCCTGGCCCTGGGCTGTGGGGGGGAGCTCCCCAGCCTTTGGGGGACAGCGGGCATAAAACCCCGCGAGTGAAAAGACACATGTGGTGCCGCGGGCATGGCTGGTGTAAGGCTGCCCAGCATGGGTGCCAGGCCCCGGGGTGGAGGAAGGCACTGAAGCATCAGGCGGCCTAGAGGTCAGGGGTGCGCTAGAATGGTCCCTGGGGGCAATGTTGGGGACAGGCCCGAGCTGCAAAGCAAACAGGGGAGGTGGTCCTGGAGAGCTGGTAGGGCGGATTCCCTTTGGGAGTCCCGGCCCCCAAGAGCAGAGGGAACGAACATGTGGGGAGAGACTTCAAGTCAGTTTCCAGGAGGCAACAGCAAAACATAAAAATAAAAAAAAAAAATAAATTAAATAGCTGAAGTGTTTCTGCCCATCTCCCCAAAAGAAATTTTTTCTAGCAGCTCTACCTTGGCCCCATCAGAAAGGGACCCCAAGGAATTTCTGGGGTCAACTGGGAATGGCTGTTGGTGACCAAGGGGCTAAGGGTCAGCCTCAGAGCCCAGCTGCCTCCACCTGGTTTCCATGGTTACCTGAGGACTATCATTTTGGGCTCAGAGGCAGGTGCAGGGGCTCCAGAGGCTGCATGAGGGGGTATAGGGGGAGGCCTGTTCATCGGAGGGGGCGCAGCAGGGGCTGGGGATGATTCGCCTCCCTGATGGGGCCCCACCACTGGGCCAGCGGCTTGAGGAAGGTCATGGCCAGCTCAGCAGGAGAAAATGTGGCCAGAGGGAGGGCAAGGGGAGCCCCAGGGGCTGCAGGGAGAGAAATGAGAGGGAAAATGCCCTTTGGCTTCACAGCTTAAATTCCCCCCCCAACCTCCCTCTCTCCCCAGGAGGCAGGGGAGGGACTGAGGGGACAGTATCCCATAGGAAGGTCAAGGGAGAGGAAGGAAAACAGGAAAGGAGCAACACCCGATGCCCACACCCTCTGTCCCCAGGGCAGTTGGCCCCGTCAGGCCACAGCTTCCCTTCTGTGCTGTCCAGGCTGCCGGGGGCCGAGGGTCTGGGGGCCATCCTCTGAAGGATAGCCAAGGCGAGGACTGTTGTGTACTCCTAGGGTGGGCCACCGGGTAACCGCCGTACACTCCAGAACTTCACCGTCAGGTCACTGGGGTGGAGGACAGGGGGGGACTGGTCAGCTCGTGAAGCGGGCCCGGCTGGCTACACCCAAAGCAAAGGATGGGCCAGATTCCCCAAACTCCCCAAATGTGGCTGCGGCCAAAGGGCAAGCATTGCTTAGGATGCGGGCGGACTGCAGGGGTGGAGGGGTGGCTGCTGGGCAGAGGGAGAGGGCCTGTGCTCCCAAGGTCCCCGAGAGAATTCACATCATGGGCTTTCGTTGTTGTTTTGGTTTGTCCAGGCCTGGCCGCTCTGCCCTCTGCCTTCTGCCACCTGGCACCCCATCCTGGGGGGCCTGTCCCACTGGTCATGCTCGGAAGAGGAGGGTGGGAGGAAGAGGGGCAGGCAGGGCATTCTGCGGGCCAGGCAGGGCGTGAAGGGAGAGTAGGGAGGAGGAGTAAAATAATCTCATACCGTTGAGAAGCAGCTCAGACCGAAGTGGAGAAAGAGAGGGAAAAGGAAAGAGGGGGGAATGAGAGAGGAGACGGGAGGGGAGTGTCAGGGCATGGTGGTGGCTCGGCCCTTTATGGCCAGGACCCGGCGAGGAAGGCAGGGGGTGAGTCCGGGGACGTAATTCCACACCTTTACCCGGCAGTCACTGTTGGGGGAGAGAGGCAGAGAGGCAGAGAGGAGAGGCGAGAGGTGATGGGGAGGGGAAGAGGGGAGAGAAGGGACATGGTCGGACAAGAAGGAAAAAGAAGAGACCCCTCTGAGGCGCTCCCCTGTGGGACAGAGGGCCTGGCCATCCCCTGGATGGGGACCAGAGCTGGGGCGGGAAAGAGGCAGGTCCAGGGGGTGGCAGGCCTGCTCTGTGGCCTGAGATTCGTGGACTGAGGTGATGTGGTGGTGGGGGGGGGAGATAAAGACCGCAGGGTGGGGGCTGCTGTGTGAGGGGCAGGAAAGGCTTGCAGACAAGTGAGTGAGTCCTGACCTGGGGCCCAGCACCTTCCTGCTCCCCTGCCCCTGGGGGGCACTCGTTGAAGGCTAGCACAGGCTAGCGGGCGCAGTGGGGTCTGCTCCGCGAACCAAGCCTGTTGGGACAACCGCAGGGGCCCCGAGGCTCCCCAGCCAGCCCCGCCCACACCAGGGAGAGGGGTGGGGGACAAAGGCAGACCCTCTGCCTAGCACCCACCTGGAGGCAGTGAAGATGTGCTTGGCGTTAGTGCAGATAGCGTTGATGGGGCTGTCGTGGCCCCTGATCTCTCCGATGGGCGTGAAGTTCTCCACGTTCCAGACCTTGATGACGCCCGCGCGGCAGGCGCTCAGCAGCATGGGGCGGCCAGGGACAAAGGCCAGGGCACACACCCAGTCCTTGTGTGCATTGGGGATTTGCTGCGGAAGGAGCAGGGCCAGTGATGGCTGGGGGCAGTGCTGAGCGAGCAGAAGCCGGCAGAGGACCCTGCGCCCATGAAGGACAGCTACCCGGATCCCCTGGGGCCCTCGGGTCCCCAGGCAGGCAGACATCTCCAGTCCGGGAGACAGGCCAGGTGGGTCCAGAGTAGGGACAACAGGGTCCCAGAGATGGGTCCTTTGGCCCCCTCATCCCGGGGGAAAACCTAAGGACTAGAGCAGTGGAGAACCCTCCAGCCTCCCAGGGTTAAATGCTCCAGGAAAGGGAACATGGTGACAGCTTTACAGTCAAACCTAGGGGCTGAGAGCAGCCCCCTTGCCTGAAATCAGCTGCATAACGGGGAGTATGGGGGGAGGGGGTTGCGGCGTGCTGCAGGGAGGCAGGGGAGTGGACACAAAGGGGAAGAGGGTGGAGAACAGGAAAGCTTCAGGGGGGGCTCTGGCCCAAGACTCTGGGTCCCCAAGGCTCCACCTGGACTGGGGAACAGCCTCACCCTAGCGTCCTCCCTTCCCTTCCGCCCACCACACCTGGATGAGCTCCTGCTGTTCTAGGTCCCATTTCTTGATGCCATTATCCCGGGAGCCACTGAAGAGGATGTCTCCCTGGATGGCGAGACACTCGATGCCGTCGTAGTGCGGGGGCTCAAAGTTGTGGGTGGGGCCGATGGTGCCGGTCACACACTCACCCAACTCGAACATCTGCGGGAGGAGAGGCTGGTAGGGAGGGCCCGGGGCAGGCGGGCAAGGGCCAGGGCCGCCAGCTGCTCTCACACAGCACTGTGGTCCCTAGGATCCCACAGACCCAGTTTGCCCGGCCGAGGGCCGTAGCCACTGTCCTGGGGGAGAGAGGTGTCCCCAGCAGGAGAGGGGTCTGGGAGGAACACTGCTTCGTTCAAAGACGGAGGCCTCTGAAGGCTCAGGTCTTGGCCCTTCCTAAGGGGACTGGGGCAGCGGGGGAGCGGGAGACTGGCTTAAATTAATGCAGGGGTGACCCCACAGCTCAACATGCGGCTGATACGGAGAAAGGTGGGTTTGGGCTGTGAACCTCCTTTTAAATCCCTTCTACTTTTAAATAAATATTGCTTGAACTTTAAATAAAAACATTCATCATAACAGCAACCACCCTCTGCTTCTCTACCGCTTTCCAGTTTCTGACTGTGTACATACGGCTTTCAGTGATATAATCGGGGAGCGAACAAAACTAGGTTGTTTTGTATCCTTTGTGTTTTGTTCTCATTTTATCACTTTAGTAAGATGCACTGCAACCCCTTCGGCGGGTTTTCCCTAATTTACGTGACTGCTATTCTACCCTGAGACATTCCGGTTGTTTTAAATTCTTCACCATTTGCAAAAATATCGCTGCAATCTACTTTCCGCACATATCTCCTTGCTTCTTCGGGGTGATTTCTTCAGCATAAATCCCCAGAAGTCTCAGTATTTGTCATGAGTGTTCCCAAGGTGACAGAGGGAAGGGGGGGGAGGGAGGGCAGAAGAAACGCAGAGAATGCCCCCCACCCCCTGCCCCAGGCCACAGAGGGAGGCTTTCTCAGGCACCTTAACGTAGTGGTCCTTGGAGCCGGTCACCACCAGGTCGTGCTGGCTGGCCGTCTGGGTGACCGTCAGACACATCACAGGGCCGATGTGGCCAGTCAGCTTGCCGACGGGCTGAAACCTGCGGGTGGGGAGAGGCCCGCCGATGGGGGAAGATGGATCAGAGGGAGCCCTGGGTTGTGGCGGCAGAGGCGGGGGGAGGGGGTCTGTCCTAGAATGAAGAGGTCTGGCCAGGGCACTCTGCCTCCTCCCTCAAAGCAAGATGAAGGATCTAGACACAAGCTGCCCTGGGTCGCAGGGATCTCAGGGAACACGGTTCCTGTATCTTGGACAGGAGCCCAACAGCATGGGGTCCTGCCAGCCCTGAGGTGTGCTCAGCCCGGAGCTGAGCCCGCGTGCCTGCCTCCGCCACGCCACGCCCCCTGCTGCTCCTTGAGCCTCCCCCTGACCTGCTGAGCTCCCAGATGCGGACGGCATTGCCCGAGGCGGCGTACAGCATGGTGCCCGAAGGGCTGAGGGCAATCTGGTTGATCTGATGCTCCCCCTGAGCGCTGGTGATGGCGCGGGTGGATGTGGCAGCACAGGCGTCACCTGAGGTCACCTGGCCCGAGGACCTGCCACAAGCAAGGAAGGCAAGGTCAGAGATCAAGGCGGTCCATCCACACAGGCAGGAAGCTGAGCAAACCCCACTCAGACCAGGCCTGATAACCCAGTTCTTCCAGGAAGCCTTCCCTGACTGAAGGAGAGGAGCCAAGCTCTCCCCTAGGAGTTTCTGGTCCAACGTGAGTAAGACCAAGGGGAATAGTGCCACTCCACCCCCAGCAGAAAAAGATGGTAAGACTCAGTCAGGGGACTGGGTTTGAACCAAGGTCTTGTGGAAAACACTTAATCTCTCTGAGTCTCAGTTTCCTCGTCTTTAAAAAGAGGGGATAATACCCATTCCATTCACTGAGTTTCTTTGGTTTTTTAAAAAGGCTAGTCTTAAAGAGGTTATAGGATCACAGCAAAACTGAGGCCAAGGTTTCCCATCTCCTCCTGCCCCCACACATCCACAGCCTCCCCCCTTACCAACAGCCCCACCAGAAGGGGGCGTGTTTGCTACAACTGACAGACCCGCACTGACACAGCATAACCCCCCTGCGTCCACAGCTGACATGAAGGCTCACTCGTGGTGTACACTCTGCGGGTCTGCACAAATGCATAATGACCTGTATCCACCATTATAGCCTCACAAAGGGGAGATTCACTGCCCTAAGAAGCCTCCGTGTTTAGTCTTTTTTAAGGATCAAGTTAAATAACAGATTACAGCTTATAACGTAAACACAAGGAAGAAGCATGACTTCAGCTAGGAAATAACTTCATTTTGCAGGAGCCCTTGTCTCACGTCTGTCTCCCACATGTCTGTCTGCCTGAGACTGTCAGGGTCAGGGATCAGGAGCAGCTCTGGTGGCTCATTTAGGCAGATAGGTGGCCAACGCGGCTTTGGAGCCTGCCGCCGCCTGCTGAGCACCCCTGATTCCCAGCCCGCCTTTCAGACTCCTAGGGGAATGCCTGGCACAAGCCAGGGCCAGGGCCGAGGAGGCTGAGATGAAGCAAGGGGGCTAAACAGTCCTAAGGCTCACTCAGATGCTGCCCGGGGCGCTGTCTCCCAGTCCAGGGAATCTCACCTTGTCCCTCAGATTCAGGTCAAATCCATGTGCCCAAAAGGGCCTCTGTGCCCAAGTAGCTGGCCTTGGCTATACTGAGTAGGTCACCAGGGCTGAGCACCAGCACCCAGCCCACCCCTGTGAACCAGCTGGGGGAGTACCTACGTGAGGGTCCGAATGCACTTGGCTGAGTCCCGGATGTCCCACACCTTGATGTAGGAGGTAGACACGGAGAACACAAGCCCAGAATGGCTGCAGTACTTTATAGACACCACGTTGTTGGGGTGGCCCTTCAGTGCTGCAATCTCCTGGCCTGTGACCAAGTTCCACATCTTACAGCTGCGGTCTGTAAGGGACAGGGAGACAGGTGGGTGGGGGGTGGAGGACAGATGCCAGTTAGCGGCGGCCAGGTAACGCACGCTCCCCCTACACAGGGGTTGTGGATGTGGGGGAGACGGTCCAGAGACATCTAGAGGGAGGAGCCCTAGGGCCAAGGGAGAGAAAGATGGGCTCGCGCATGCTCACATGGTGTGTGTGCGCAAAGAAACACTCCAGAGAGAAGTCCGTTAGAACCATAGGCCAGGGTTTCTCAAGCAAACTCTATACAAAGACCAGAGTTCTGTGTGTTGCTAGGGTGCCCTGGGCTAAAATAAAATTCTTAAGCTTTTGGTATCTATCCCTACAATTGCTAATAGCTGACACGACTGATGAACAAATGGCAAGCAAATCTTATGGGGAAAACTTGGAATCAACAAATCACACCTAGATGGATGACTCGGCCCCTTCTCGCCATGCACATACATATGTATTAATGATTGTGTTTCTATTGACAGGTCTCCTGCAGAACTGTTCTTTCTGCTGGTAAAACTTTCCTGATTTTGCTGCTGTGATTAATTGTGACTTTGTGAGGTCCTGCTGTCAAGATCACAGAGATTTCTTAGACGAATGTGATGGAGTAGATGTCAGGGGGTAGTAGTGTTGGGGGACTGGGATGAGGAGACAAGGTGGGGCACCCCAGAAGCTTCCTGGAGTTTCTGAGGAAGCTCTGGAAGGAAATGCTGGATGGAGCTACCACGGGGAGCTATACGAGGGGAGACTTGGTCAAGGGCACCCAAGCCAGGCATCCCTGAGCCAAGGCAGGAGACATGAGACAAGGTAGTGAGCAAGCTGACCCCACCTCCTCAACTCCTGGGGGCTCTGTGTTTTCATCTTTACAGCCCATTCTGCCAAAGGAAGCAGGGGTGGGGGTGAGGCCTAACGCTACCCGGCCAGGCTGGGTTCTGCTCACCTTTGGACCCTGTGAACAGCAGCTCGTCCGTGGCGTCCAGGCAGAGGATGGGCTTGGTGTGGCCCTCGGCCATGGAGACGCACTGCAGCGGGGCCGTCCTTCCACCCTTGGCTCCTCCAACGGGGGTGATGATGCCCCTTCCCAGGAGAGAGGAGAGAGGGGCACCTGTCAGCCGGGGAGACTCAGGACAGGTTGGGTGAGGTACACAGGCAAGAGGGGGTGTACAGAGAGAGGACTAGGCCTAATGAAGAAGACGCCAGAGACTCCGGCCAAATGCCACCAGTCTGAGAGCTGGGAATAGGCTCTGCAGGTGGGGACGGGCTGTCTGAACAACAGCCTGTCAGTCACCATCTCGAGCACTTCTGAGGGAGCAAGCCGTGTGCTGGGCACCGCAGGAAGGAGACATGGGCCCTGCCCATGGGGAGCTCCCATCTGGTGCCTGCCCCACCAGATCCTGAGACCTAAGTGCACGGACGCCCTGCTAGGCAGGGCCGAGGCCCCAGGGCTGCACCGGCTCCTGCACTAACTCTGACTCCCTGCTGCTGCTGCAGTGAACCCAGGGGGAGGTGAGGGTCACAGCGGGGGGGGTGCTCGGGCTGTCACCCTCCAACCACCTCGGTGCCATGTGACAGCGACTTCTGGGACCGGTGCATGTACACACGCGTGCCTGTGCACACACGTACACTCCCACCCACCCGTGGGCCCCTTTTGGACCTGCGTGGTCAGACCTGCGACTGTCATTTACAAAGGCCTAATTTAATCCCTTTAGGGGCCCCCAGCTCAGCTCTGGGTTAGGGATGCCTAGGGCTCCTTGGGAAATGAGGCCATATGCACCCCGAGAGGCGCCTCCTCGTTTCCCATGAACATTCTGGAAGGGAGTATAGGGTCTGTCCTCAGTGAGCAGGAGGATTCTACTACGCCAGCCTGCTGGAGGTTCTGGGGACTTTTTTCCCCCTTCAGGGAAGGTCTTTTGTAATGAGACCCCGGCCAAGTTATGTGCAAGTCTAAAAATATGTTCTCGCTCTTTTCCAAAGAGAACACGGCTCCTGACAGTGACGCCGTGGCCGATGGGCTGCTGAAGTGCCCGGTGCTCCTTCCACGGGGCTTCTCACCGCCCCGCGGACTCAGCCGGGCCCCCCTGCAAGGACAGCAATCAGACAGGGCCAGGGGCCAGCTGGATGTCACACACATGTGAACTGCCCCCACAGCTGCCTGCTTCCGACACTGGTTTGGGCCCAGCTGTGTGGCTGCAGAAAAAGCCCAAGGCCGCTGGGCAAAGTGCATCACAAGGATAACCCTCCTCAGTGAGAGAGGCTGGTAGGCTGGCTAGCTGCTCATGGTGGCAAAGCCTCGCTCCCTGCCGGCGGGCTTGCGGACAGGTCAATAGCCTGGGCAGCAGACGCGGTGAGCGGTGGGCGCTCTGGGAGAGCTGGAGGGAGCTCTCGGCCCAGGGGTGACGATCTGCCTGGCAGGAGCTCAGGCCCACCGGGTGCTAGGACACGCTCCTCGCAGTAGGGGTAGAACGGGGTCGCTGTGGAAACTGGTCTCTGCTCTTCCCAAAATTGGGCAAAGAGGTCTCCTGGCACCCAGGTCCACATACCAGGAGGTGTGGGCAGCGGGCACCGCCCTCCCTCACCCCCTGCTGCTCCTCTCAGAGCCAAGGGCTGAGCTGTGCACCTCACGGGCACAAGCTGAGGTCACGAGGACGCTGGGGACAGCCACCGACACCTGCCCAGCTGGGCCCTGCAGGCCCCCAGGCTTTCCCCAGCCTTGCCCCTCACCCTAGCCCCTCGGCAGAGCTCGGTCCCAGCCCCAGACAACCCCGGGCTCCCATGCTCTCCCCCTCCCTGCCCAGGTGATAAGGAGAAGAGAGCAGCGTCTGTGGCAAGCAACTGTGCGCCCCTCCCCAAGCCCCCAGCTCCAGCCGGAGGCCACGCAGCGACCCTGAGAGGGAGGAACCACGGAGGAGGGGAGGCAGGCCAGGGGGGAGGGCGGCATGCTGAGGACGCAGGTGTGCAGGCGGGAGGGGAGGTGCAGTGAGAGGCAGAGAGGGGAGAGAGTAGAGAGTGAGAGCTGGGAAGCCAACACGGGAGACATTCTGTGTGTACCTCAGGACCTCCGACAAAGAGGAGTCGCTGTCATCAGACCTGGGGAGGGCAGAAAATTAGCTGGATTAGGGGAGAGAGGAAAACACACGAAGGGATGGCAGAGGCAGCAGCAGCGTGGGGGGTCAGAGGGCGGGTTATTCTCTTCAAGGGCAGCAGGGAGAGGCAGAGGGCAAGGGCGCTGAGGGACAGCAGGAGAGGAGGTGGGGAGGGGCCGGCCGCCGGGGGACCCTCAGCTAACAGGGTAGGAGTGAGGAGAGGGCCACGCTCCGGGAAGACATTTCAGCTCGTGGGTTGTTTGCTGGTTGCAAGCCCCTGGCTGCCCCATGGTACAAGCTGCGGCGCCCTGCTCTGCACCAGCAACGTCCCTACGTGCCCGAGGCCAGAGGAAGCCATGCCTGCTCCTACCTCTCCTCCGGGAGCTGGTTTCTTCCACGGCTTCCTCAGGGACTTCCTTATTTACAAAGCCCACTGTCCCCAGCAAGCCCACTGGGATGTGCCTGGGAGCTGAGTCTCTACCACACATGGGCCCCAAGACCCGGTCGACCGGACGGGGCCAAGGTCTGCAAGACAACCTGGTTGGAATGGCCAGAGTCCCACTTCTATGCTTCTGGAAAAGGGACCTGCTGACTGTAAAGGTACGGTGTGGGTGGGGGCACCCTGGTTGGCGTGGTCTAGGCTTAGTTCGCCCCTTCCAAAACGGAAGCTGAGCCATGGTGGGTTTGGGGAGGGAGTCGTATTCTGACCCGGCAAGGGACATTTCTGTGGGGAGGGGCTGCTGTCAGGTACCCGGTGTGAGACCTAGCACCTTCTAGCCTGGGCTCCCCTGAACAACAGCTCTGCCCCCTTCCTCCCTGCCAGGACAGAGATGCTTTAGGGAGTCAAGAAAAGAGCCCTCTTGGAGGCCGCAGAGAGTTGCAGAGGGCCGAAGCAAGGTCCAGAGTGTAGGGAGCACAGGGACGACAGGGTCCCCCCTCTCCCAAGGCAGAGTCCCACTGGGAGGAACGGATGCTGAAGCACGTCAGAGGCCCATGTCTGCCACTTTCTAGGTAAATGTCCTTGGGCCTCTTTAGACCTCATTTCCTCTTCTGTAAAATAGGTAAGAGAGTTCTCATGGTTGATTACAGTCTACATGAATAACATATATGAAAGCAGGTGCATAGTGAAGGTGCCTTCTGAATGCACAAGATTGTTGTTAATACCCACTGGGCTAGCAATAGTCACAGCAGCCCAACGGGAAATGAACACATCAGTCGGGGTGATCCTGTCATGTGAAGGCAATTAGGGAGTCCCTTTCTACTGGGACAGTGCGCAAGGGCCACCGGGACCTCGCCTGAGCATGTGTGGCAGGGAAGGAGTGGTTGAAGTCCCGTGAAAGGGCTTAGGAGAAAAATCCAAGAGTCAAAGAGAATCAGCAGAGGACTCAAGGCGCAGTTCTGGTGAGGCCCTGTGGGGGGCTGGACCTGTGCAGACATCCCCACCTGACTGCCCCCTGTCCCTGTGGCTTCCTTCTTGCCCTCTTCTGAGGTCCCAGCATGCCGGGGGGGAAAGGAAGGGTCCACAGTTAGAATAGAAAGGACAGAGACACCGGCAGAAGAGCTTCAGAGCCTCATCTCTCCGAGAGGCTGGAGCAGCGTGCTCAGGGTCTGCCCAGCTGACCGGCCCTGCCTGCGGCGCCCTCCCTGGCCCGCCCTGGCTCTTACTTGTCCAGTGCTGACCCTTGGCTCTGGTTACTGGTGAGACGAGAGAAGACATTGCGGTCGTTGCGGGGCCGAGTAGGAGGGGATGAGGGGGGCGTGAATCCCACATCTGTGGACCTGGTGAGTGGGGACAGAGCAGCATGTGTCAGTGACCACACGTCCAGCCCCCAGACCCACACCCGCGCTGTGCTTCCAGCACCACCTTCTGTCTTGGCTCTAAGGCCCGCAGGGCGGGGCCTGCTGTGCAATGATCCGGATTCAGCTCCTACATGCTGTTCTGAAATAGTCCATCCTCATTATTCGTGGATTCTATACCTGGGGGTTTACCTGCGCACTAAAATGTATTTGTAATCCCAAATTAACTCTCACGGTGCTTTGGGGTCATTCCCAGACATGGGGCAGAGCAGCCAAAAATTCAAGTCTGCAGATGCACATGTTCTCAGCAGAAGTCAAATGAGGCGACAATCTGCCTTCTTGCTCTCATACTGTAACAAGCAACCTTCTTTGTGGTCTATTTAGGGCCATGTTTTTTGCATTTTTGTGCTTTTTGTTGGTGTTTTCACTGTTTAAAAGACCCCCAAAGCATAGTGCTGAAGGGCTGTCTGGCACATGTCTAAGCACGTGAAGGCTGTAACGTGTCTTATGTAGAAAATACATGTGTTAGGGGCGCCCGGGTGGCTCAGTAGGTTAAGCGTCTGACTTCGGCTCAGGTCACGATCTCACAGTTAGTGGGTTTGAGCCCCGCGTTGGGCTCTGTGCTGACAGCTCAGAGCCTGGAGTCTGCTTCGGATTCTGTGTCTCCCTCTCTCTCTCTGACCTTCCCCTGCTCACACTGTCTCTCTCTCTCTCAGAAATCCATAAAACATTAAAAAATTAAAGAAAATACATGTGTTAGAAAGGCTTCATTTAGGTGTGGGTTACAGTACTATTGGCTGCGAGCTCAATGTTAGTGAACTGATAACATATATTAAATGGAAGGTCTTTAAACAGAGACACACATAAAAGAAGGTTCTATACTGACTGGCTGATGAAAATGTGACCAGAAGCTCTCAGGAACCTACCCCTGTATTTCCCCAGGAACAGTGGTTCAGTATTCGCTAATTCTATGTTCACAGTGACTTGATACAACATAAGGACCGTGAATACTGAGGATTGACTGTATCATCGGGGAAGAATCCAAGACTGCATTGCACCTCCCCATTGCAATAGCCCAACGTTTCCTCTCCTTGGAAAGCTGTCATCGGGTTTGGCCTACACCCTCTCTTCCTTTGAAGAGTCTAAATCCCTCAGACTGCAGCTTAAGTGTGTTCTCTCAGTTCATGGGTGAAGCGATTGTCTGTGAGGCCCCCAGTATACAGATATCCATGTAACTCCTCCCCACTGAAGGCCCCCACGGCAAGCTACTGGCATGGGCATCTGCCCAGGCTTCGGACTCGAGGGAGGGCTGGAAGCCTGAGCAAATCCTCCTGCCTTCCACCAGGTCGGGTGGTGGAAAGAGGTCATCATGAGCCCCTGCTCTTCTTCTACTAAGTTGTAGGACTTGGAGAAAGCCATCAAAGCTCTCTGCAAACTAAGTGCATGGGCCAGATGACCACAGGAGGTTTCTGGTGACCTGTAGAAGCTCTGTGGGACCCAATGCTATGAGTGGCTAACAAGTTAGAGACTTGGCCACCATTCTGCAATCATCTCCTGGGTTTTCTTTAAACGTCTATGCTCTTCACATGACATAACCTTAGAAAGGGCTGAGACCTCCCAAGTACTTGTCGTCATGAAAAGGAGCTGAAGCACATCAGTGCAATGACTAGTTTAAGCCACTACAAAGGCACCAACGTTGAGCTCCCATCAGCCAACAGTTTTTGGCAGCAGGGTTAGCCATCCAGTTCAAGGTGCTTATGGAGATGATATCTCCTGAGCCCATGCCTGACAGGATGGAGAAAGGGGCATGGGGGAAAGCTGAATGACTTAGACCAGCCCAGACTAAAGTATGCATGAAGATCTACAGTAGACCATCACAGTGATTCATGCACCCAAGGATGGCAGTGACCCTGGTGCAGGTTCTGGAACATGCTCTCACCTAACGGGCTGCCCTCGGTCATACGACTTCCTTCGGGTCAGTGGGGATGTCTCCGTGCCTCGAGACTGCCGGGGACTAGAACAGAAGAGTCCAGTGAGACCCCAACCTAACTCCCTACCCACCCTGACCCATGAGCCTGGCTCCCCTCCTTACAAAGTACTGCCTCTGGTGGGCAGGCTGATGGTGCGTGACACCTTGTCCCGGTAGTAGGGGTCTCGGACGGAGAGGCCCACTCCGTCCTCTTTGATCTCGACAAGGGAGGCCAGGGACTTGGTGATGTTCTTGGTGGAGATATCCAGTGGGGGACCCAGGCACTCGGCCGACACAGCCTTCATCTGGGCAGACAGCTTGGGCTCACCCTGGGAACAGAAGCAATGGGGTGAACTGACTTGCCCAAATGTAACGGGAGAGCTGGGCAAATCCTAATGAAGGAAACAGTGCCTCTTAGCATATGGTGGCACCACTAATGGAAGACCCAGGTGAACATCACCCAGAGACCATCTCTCAAGGCTTGTAGAGAATCCAAAGCAACTGAAAGGGTTTTACTGCCCTTGTTTGGACTCTGCAAACACAGAATGCCCAGCATGACCTCTTTGCTGGTCAGCTAATCAGTTTATCCAAAAACTATGCACAGTTTACTGTTCCCAGTCTGGAGTCCCCACCCTTCTCTCTCTCATAAATTCTGTTTCTTGGTTCAGATTAATAACTGACCCCTCCTTGGTAGATGACTCCCATTGTTGACTCCCATACCGTTGAATCAATAATCTGCATGTGGAATAACTAGAGGTCTCAAGTTAGTCTTTGACTTGGAGCATGAGGCAGAGTCTGGGGGCAGGGAACGGGGTGATTTTTGAAAGCAGGGCCTCTGGCTCTGGTGACATAACTGTGCAGTGACTCCAGCTATTTGTCTCACTTTCCACCTACCTCAGGAAGAATGGGTTGTAACCAGGTACATAACTGAGCACCCCCAAATTCCAACCCAGGGTATCTCCATCCCAGCTGGAGGCAATATTGTCAGGTCAGGGCTGGGGGGTGGAGGCAGAGCCACAGAAAGATGGAGACCAGGCGATGGGGAGACTCGCCCTGCTGCAGCCTGTCTGCCTTCCCATGGGGCTCACCTTGAACTTGAAATCATCATGGCTGGTGGAACCTTTCATGGTGAATGACTGGGAGAAGCTAAGGAAGAAGCAGAGGGAGTTCAGGATCCTAAGAGCCTGTGCTTTGGCTCTCTGAGCCTTAGACTCGTGGGTTGCAAAGAGCTCCCAAATCCAGGCTTAGCCCTGGGACCCTATGGCAAGCCCCCACCCCCCAGCCCCAGGTTCATGCTATGAGTCAACCTCTCACTCATGATGTGAAAACTCACCTCCCCTCAGAGAACTCTGAGATCTCCTCATCTGTGCTGGCATAGCCATTCTCTGTGGGAGGGAGGAGGGAGGAGGGATGAGAGGCCCCGAGAGAGTGAGGGGAGAGGGGATGGCCTCCTTCCCACACCTCACCTACTGGGATCAGACTAGGACTTTGGGGGAGTTCTGGGGAGGTGAAGGTCCCCCCAGGGACGGAGCTAGGGAGCACTGGAAAAATCTAGGAGCTTTGAGGCCTTTGCCCACACCCACTGTACCCTGCTGCACATTGTAGATGAGGGCCTGCAGCTCAGGGTGTGTCTCAGCCTTCTCTCGCAGTGCGTCCAGGAGCAGGTGGTTCTGGGAGGAACCCGCTATGTCTGTCTGCCTCAGTCGTCCCTCTAGCAGCCGGATCTGGGCTTCCTTCTGTGCCACTTGTAGTCCCTGAGGGCAGGGAGCCAGGCCGAGGGTTACCCTTCCCACCGTGGCTTTGTGGGCACCCTCATCACCACCCTTCCAGTGGAGAGTCCCCCTCCCAGATATCACCCTTGTACCCGCCGTCCCAAACCCAGGCTAACTCCCAGACGTCACCCTCACACCAGCCCCAGACTAGAGACGCAACCTCACCCTCCTGAACTTTCCCTAAGTACACATGTTCGGAGAGGTCGCCTTAGAATATGACCCTTGTTATGGGCTGAGTTGTGTCCCCACCCTCCCAAATTCACATGCTGACAGTCTAACCCCCAGCACTTCAGAATGTGACTGTATTTGGAGATGGAGTCTCTAAAGAGGTAATTAGGTTAAAAGGGGGTTCTCAGGGTGGGCCCTAATCCAATGTCCTTGGTGGCCTTATAGGAAGAAGACATTAGGACACAGGCACACACAGACGGAAAACTGCCTGAGGCGAGGAGGCCGTCACCTACAAACCAAAGAGAAAGGCCTCAGAAGCAACCAGTCCTGCTGATTCTTAATCTTGGACATTGAGCCTCCAGAGCTGAGAAAATCAATCTGTGTGGTTTAGGCCACCCAGTCTGTGGTTCTTTGTCACAGCAGCACTAACTCAGTCCCCTAAAACACAGACAGAGCTAAGAGCTTACTGGGAGCAGAGGGGGTCTCCCCGCTCCCTCGCCAGACACTCTATATGGTGTCTGTCCCCAAAGACCAGGGGCAAGGAGGCCCATCCTCTGGCCAGCTGTCAGGGAGAGAGAGGACAGGAGCACAGGACAGGTGGATGTGATGTTCTAGTGTAAATCTTCCTGCGTGGAATGTGGTCTGTTTCTTGCTGCCCCTGCCCCAACATACAGATACACGCTTCTCCCAACAGACCCGAGCCCTGCTGTGGATGGGCCTGGACCAGACATGTAGGGTCACTTCTAATGGAGGCCCCGCTATGTACCAGGCATCATGGCAAGCCCTGTGCAAGTGTCATCTTGTTAAAGCCATGCAGCAGGCTAAGAGTTTGCTATTGTCATCACCCCAGCTCTGCAGCTTCGGAATCAGAGGCTCAGAGGGGAGGCAGCTTGCCCCAGCCTGTAGTGACGCAGCTCAGGAGCCAGGCCTGTGTGCTTCACCACGGGGCTAGATCACAGAGGTGCCTGTGACTGTTGGGCTCCCTGCTTGGGAGGCGAGCTGCTGGCCCACCTTGTCAATGGACGCCTTGAGGAAATTGTCCAGCAAGAGACGGGCTTCGGCCAGGGAGCAGGAGCTGATAACCACCGATGTGTCCGTGGAGTCCAGCTCCTCCTATGACGGGGAGGTAGAGACCCCTTGTCACTGAGGCTGACCCCACCCCCCGCATGGCTCCTACCCCCACCCAGGCCAGGCCCCGTGGGCACCTTGGTTTCCTCCAGCTGCACGATGGTGGCCTGGCAGTCAGTGATGCTGTCGTTGATATAGTCAATGTTGGCAGCCAGCACCTCGATCTCCTCCGCCAGCTCCTGCAGCCCCTTCTCCTCCTCTGGGCTCTCAGCCTGTAGCCGCTCCCGCTTCCTCCGCAGCGCCTCCTGCAGGAGGAACAGCTCCTCCCTTTTCTGCAGGGAGGGTGATGGGGGACAAGCCTCAGGTTGCTGCCCAACCCTGCCCCTGCCCACAGCTCCTCCCTCCCCCCGCCAGGTGGGGTCCCTGGGTCCCCCTGCACCTCCAGACTCCAGAGCAGGTACCAGGAGTGGGTGAAATGGGGATAAGGAGATCTGAGGGGCTGGAGGAGTCAGAAGCGACAGAGGACAGGCGGAGGAAGGGAAGACAGGAGTCCAGGCTCCTTGTGGCCAGGCACACCTTGATGAGCCGCTCCATGTCAGCCTCCAGGTTGACAATGGTCATCCTCTGCATGACGATGTCAATGATCCTCCGCTCCAGGGACTGCCACTTGAGCCTTGCAGCCTTACTGAAGCTCTGGCTGGCCCCCTTCTTCTGGAACTTCTTTCTGGGAGACAGATGCAAAGGCAATTGGGTGGGAGCACTCCCTTTCTACATTCCCCCCCGCCCCAAGTCTCTATATGTATTTTGTAATCAAACAGTGTTAATATAATAATATGTTCTTTTGGTGGGGATACAATTTTTTATCATTTCATTTCATCGAGATAAGCATACTCTTTAATCCCCATCCCCCACCCACCTGGTTGGGAGCACGCTCAGCCTCTGTAGCTCCGTGGACCCCCTCACCCCAGAGCTGACAGCCATGGGGACCCCTCACAGGACCACACCTCCCTTGAGTCCACCTCCCTCCAGTCCTGCCTCCATATTTCCACCCGCCCTGCCCATACCAGCTGGGGTACTGCCTGCCCAGCTCACCTGGCAGGGCGGGTACCATTGACAGCAGGCGCAGGGTGGTCCCCCAAGAAGTGGTTGATTTTGCGGTTCCACTGGCGCACGATGCTGGAGACCGAGCGGGCCCCTGACTCGGCCTCAGACGATGTGGTGCTGGCTGACACCTCGGCCCCCGAGTCCAGCATGGGGGGCTTTGGTCCTGCACGCCCCGCCACCCGCTCAGACATGGGCTTGGCCAGGCGCCTCAGTGCAGAAACCTGTGGCCAAGGGAAGAGGGACCCAGCGAAAGGGACAAATTGGGGGGTGCCAGAGGGGGAGACCACAGGAGCCGCTCCACCCAGGAATGGGCTTGGGACTGAGACAGAGCCAAGGGCTCTCTGATATGAGAGGAACACAAGACACTTCCACCTTTTTAATTAAGGCCTCAGGCCTTCAGGACCAGAGCCTGCCGCCTGCCTTCAAGCCTCAGGCCTCCTGGGGAGGGCGGCCCTTACAGCAGGCCTCGCGCAGGCTCTGCTCAATTGCATTTGCTGAGCGAACAGGGAGAGCCAGGGCCACCGCCAGCGGGGCCTCGTTCCCTCCAGGCTCTGCTGGAACTCCGGAGAAGGGGAGCTGTGTCCGCTCACCTCCTGGGTTTTCCTCCTCAGAACCATTTCCTGCTGCCGCTTCTGGGACTCCAGAGCTCGGATCTGGAACTGTGGGTGACAGAAGGGGGTTGGGGTCCACACTTCAGCCCCACACCCCATAGGTGGGGCCTGTAGGACCCACCTCTATAGGTGAAAGCCTGGCCTTCGGGCTGATTCTTGTGTAGACAGAACTTATTGATAAAATGGGACATGGAGATTGGTTCCCCTTCCCAGAAGTCACAGTGTGGACCCTTCTCTCCGTGCAGGCAATTCCCTGAGCCTGTCCGCCCCAAGGCAAAGGATCCGGGGCACGGGGGCTCAGGGCTGGAAGCTGCACAGTTCCGCCTCTGGCTTGCTGGTGACCCTGGGCAGGGCCCTGCCGTCTGGGGTTCGGGTCCCCCACCAACCTCCTCAAACATTAGAGGGACTGGACCAGAAGGCTGCCGTGCTCAGGCCCTTCCATGCTGTGCTGTGCCCTGCTGTAGTGGGAACCGAGGGGCAGCCAGGCACACAGGGATGCTGGGGGTCCCCAAGGGCTGCCTCTCACCTCCTGTCGCCGCTGTTCCTTCTTGAGCTGAGCAATCTCCCGGTTCCTCTTGGTCTCCACCAGCCGCCGCCGCTGCTGCTCTTCCCGCATCTGCTTCATCAGGGCCACCTGCATGGGCAGGCATGGTGGGGGTGAGGTGGGGCTGGGCAGTGGGGAGGAGGGGCTGGCTCTGAAGATGTTGGGAGGGGTGGTGGCCCGGGGCTCAGAGGCCTGCCCCTACTCTTCCATGCGAGCGGAAGCTGCCCCATGCCGGGGCAATCCGCCAGGAGTGGCCTTGCTGCCAGCCCAGCTGTCGGGGGCAATGACTCTGCCAGGACTAACCCTGGCCACCCACTTCTAAATGTCACAGCCCTCGGTGGCCCTTACCCAAAGCCCTGTCCTGGGTCTGGCCATTGGGAGCCCAGCTCAGGTTGCTGGAGGCAGGTAATCCCACCTGGGTGGAGCATTTCCCTCTTTCCCACTGACAGCTGGGCTGCTGACAGGGCTGAGGTGGGGGTCAAGCCACATTCCAGGGCCAGGCTCCCAGGCACAACAATAAAAACTACTAGCATTTATCGAGAACATGCAACACGCCAGGCACTGTTCTTGTGACAGTCACATGAGAGAGGCATTACCATTCTCATTTTATAAATCAGGAAATGAGCCTCAGAGAGACAAATGACTGAGTCATAAAACTGGTCATGAATGGTCAGACTTTTGGCCAAGGGCATTTTGCCCCCAAATCCAGCTGTCACTCTAGCCCCAGGGAGGGCCACATGCCAGTTCAGAGCAAAGCTAGTGATCAAGCACAGAGAACTTGGAACCTGGGGTTGTCAGAGCTGTGGCAAAGGCACAGAGAGCACCACTGTGGTAGCCAGAGATGACCCAACATGACAGAGAGCCATGTACCTAGGACCTCATGGCAGCCACCCCCTCCCGCCAAGTCCTGGTGCCCAATGCATGACAGTGCAATGTATACAGGGCTTTAGACACCTTCCAAGTGACAGGGGAATGAAAGCCACACAGAGCTTGATCCTTCCTCTGCACGGAGGCCTCAGACATCGCCAGCAATGTCACCAGGCTGCACGGCCCTGAGGACTGTCTCGAGAGGAAATAGCATGGGAGGAAAGGAATGAAGCTCTAAAGGCCTGGGGGCTGGCGAGGTTAGCTTCTCCCTCAGAAGGCAGGCCCCACAGGGGTGAATCTACAGAGAAGAGGAGGGCTGGAAGCTGCTGGGTCTTCAAGGTCAAGAATGAGTGTTCTCCCAAAGGACTGGCATTGAGCAGAGCAGCCCCAGGCTGGCCTGAGAACCCCAGCATGTCAGAAGTTGTATGCAAACCCGAAATGGCCATCTGCTGGGGTCAGGGGTCAGAGGCTTCCTGGGAAGAACTGTGTACCCCTAGACAGGAGCCCATCCTCCCACCTTTACATGTGTGGCCAAGTTCCACAGAGGCCAGCGCAGAGGGGATGGTCTCAGAAGGGGCGGGCATATCCCAGGCACCCGGTGGTGCTGAAATGGGCCACAGCACCCGAGACCAGCTCTGCTCTGAACATCCGAAGTAGGAGGCAGTGTCTCATCTCCCAGGAGCCCTGGGGACCGTAGACCCCACATGGGTTCAAGTCTGTGAACTGCTGCAGCTGAACTGAGGCGGGAGGGTTCTTAGACACTGGCTCTCCTTGGATTCTAACCTGATGCCACATCTGTCCTTCTGACAGAACCCTGGGCCCTGCCGGGGGACCCCTGGAAGGTTCTTTTCTACCTCTAGTCAGGGCTCATGAGAGCACGGGTAGATGGGCAGAGTGGGGCACCTGGCTGAAGGACCCCAGCAAACCTGAGACTGAAATGCAGGAACACTGGTGGGTCCTTGGACATTATATTATTTCTCCAGGCTTTCTTTACAAGGCTCTATCAAGGTCACCCCAAGCTAGGATGTGCTCTGGCCAGTACAGGCTACAGGGGCGTTAGCCAGGGAGCCTCCAGGGAGACAGACTGAGGATGCAGATAGCACCACCCCAGAACTACCCCGGGAGCAGCTACAAACACAAACCTTGATGGGTGTGCTGCTCCCCCCAGGGAAAACCCAAGGCACACTGGCCACTCCCTTCTCCACCACCAGGGGGCACCTGGGGGATCCACGTCCCCTCAGCATCATAGTAGGAGTGGGACTTCCCAGGTCAGGCCAGCCTATCTGAGTAAAGCAACAGCCTGGCCAGGCTGATGGAACCCTTGGACCTGTGGCCCAGATGAGGCTGGAGACAGCGTGTGCCCAGGAGAGGTGGCCAGGACTCCCTTGAGGGCTCAGAACCCACCTCCTCTGAGAACGTATCACTACTGCACGGCCTCTAGCCCTGCATGCAGGCCTACACGCAAGTCAGCAGTGAGGCCACAGTTACTAATGGCTCCCCAAATCCACACTTCTGTCCCACCAGCCTAAGCCATCTTTGATGCTCCCATTTCTGAGGCCAGCCCGCCCCTCCCCCCCCCCAAACCTGCTGGGGCAGCTGCCAGTGCCAGGTTTTGCTAGGGGGTCTAGCTTCAGGGCCTGACCCAGGGCTGTGGAGAGCTGGAAAGCACAAGGGGCCAGACGCCAAGGTAGGACAGCAAGACTAGGAAGGCCAGGGGGAGGGGGGACATAAAAGCGAGCATGGATGTGCCGGGCCCCAGGGAAGAACAAGAACACACTCAGACACCGGTGGCAAAACCAGAGCCAAGAAACCAGAACCTCGGGGCAGGCTCCAGGCCCCAGAGACTAAGTACTTTGAGTGACGGCCAAGCGGAAAAGGCACTATGCCACACAGAACACACATTGGCTTGGGAGGCAGAGGCGTGAGTTCGAATCCCTGCACTAACTCTAAGCAGCTGAAATGGACTTCTCTGAGCCTCACTTTCTCATGCACAAAACAGGAATGATAATCAGGCCTCCTTCATATTCTCCTGAGTATGTAGCACGTTCGTGCAGGTTAGACCACCAGCCTAGAGCCTGACCACAGTAAGCATTCAGACAACGGTAATAATAGTTATCATTAGTATAGGCAAAGGCTGAGTACATGAGACTTCTCACATGTACTGGGGAAAACTGGGGGCAGCTGCGGTGCAGTTTCCTACCACAGGGGGCAGTGTTGAGATCCTCACCTGCCTCTCTACTGGGAGAGGTGCTTTCACCCTGGACAATGAACCTGGCTCAGTGTCCAGGACCAAGACAGGCTCGAATTACACAATGCTGTGTGTCAGGAAGACTGCCCACCCTGATAGCGATGGTAATTTTTAACACAGTAAGTGGATTCTAAGAAGACATCCCGTGGCCACCCCTCAGCCCTGCTGCTCACCCCCTCGGCCCCTACCTTGGCCTTCTTCATCTCAGCCACCTCGGTCTGCAACTTCTTCAGCTCCCTCTCATAGCGGGACTGGTTTTTGAGCAACCGCGCATGCTCCTTCTGTGCGGCCTGCAGCTTCTGCAAGTCCCGGTTCATCTCCCGCAGCCTCTTCTCATAGTCCGCCTTGATCTTGTTGGCCTTCTCCTCCGTGTAGCACTCCATGGTGCCTGAGAGCAGCAAGAGGCCCCTGTCAGTGCCGTGTCAGCTTTGGGCTGAGATGGTGGTGGGGGGAGGGGACCAGGAGCCTGGGTTCTAGTCTCACTGCGGGACCTTGAGCAAGTCACACCCCTCTGTGCACCTGTTTCTTATTTAAACAATGAGGGGATCCGACTGGAAGATGCCAAGTCCCCTTCCTGCTCTGACATTCTATTGGACCTTGAGGGGGTGTTTGCATCTTGAGATCTCTGAGCTTCCTGGGAGGGTCCTGTGGGCCACTCCTGCTGGCTCGGCTCTGACCCATAACTGGAGGAAAGAACCAGGCCAGTGGGAAGGAAAGAGCTAGTAAGAAGACAGTGATGTGGGCCAGAGCAGAAGGGATAAACTTGACTTCTCTATCCTTGACCTTTGCTGCCCGAAATGCCCACAGGTGTCTCCTTGGGGATGTGCAGCAGACTCTTCAAACTTAACAGGCACAAGACCAGACTCCCAATCTCTGTCCCCCTCACCCCAGCAGGCTTCCCGTTCTCAGTAGATGTCATCACCATCCTCCCAGAGGCTGGAGCCCTGAAGACATTTTTGACTCACCTGACATTTTCCATCCAGTCAGTCAACAAACTTTTGTCTCTATTTTCAAAATGGATCCAGAACTGGACCACTCCTCAGCACATGCTGTCTAAATCCTCTTTCACCAGAATTTTTTTTTTTTTTTTTTTTTTTTTTGCCCCTAGTGATTCACCAGGATCTTTGTAACAGTTTCTAACTGGTCTCAAACTACCACATTCGTTCCCCTCCTCATTAGCCAGAATGTTCTTCTCAAAATACTTTTAAAATTGACATCACATCCCTCTTTCAAAACTCCACACCCTTCCATCTCCTTTAGGGAATAAAGCAATGTCCTTCCAGGGATGGACATGACCTGGTCCCATACTTCTTCTCTTATCTCATTTCTCGTTACTGTCCCCTTTCACCATGTTCTAGCCATCTGTCCCTTGTCATTCCACCAGCATGCCAGGCGCACCACCACCTCGGGGCCTTGGCATCTTCTATTCTCTGCCTGGAATACTCAGCCCTGTGCTCATTCTGTGCTGGCACTCTCTCAACTCCTTCAAGTCTACTCAGATATCACCTCCTCCGTGAAGTCTTCCATGACCATCCTTTATAAAACTCCAACCCACTCCCCAGCACTCCCTGACCTCCTTCCCTGATGTATTTTTTTTTTCACGGTACTTATCAGCATCAAACATGTTACACATTCTGCTTACTTATCATATTTACGTCTGCCTCCCCATAAGAATGTATATTTCATGATGCAGAGTAATGTATACTACATTACTCACCCCAATATCTCTAGCACCTAGAATAATGTCAGCGCTATAAGATGGAGTCAACAAATGTTTGCTGAATCAGAGGATGAATGAGTGAAACAGTAATTGAATGAATGTGCTAAAAAGCAGTATAAAGAAAACAAAATGTGACGAGTAGGTTTGTAACTACGTTCAAAGGAAAATACTCCAGGAACTGAATACAGAAAAAAAGGCTAAGGAGTATCATGTCCACGTCCCTAGGGAAATAAAGGAGGCTAATAATACTAAAGATGCTGGGGTGACTGGATGGCTCAGTCGGTTAAGCGTCCAACTTCAGCTCAGGTCATGATCTCACGGTTTGTGAGTTCAAGCCTTGCATCGGGCTCTGTGCTGACAGCTCAGAGCCTGGAGCCTGCTTCAGATTCTGTGTCTTCTCTCTCTGCCCCTTCCCTGCTTGTAATCTGTCTCTCAAAAATAAATAAATGTAAAAAAAATATTTTTAATAAAAATATACTAAAGATGCTAATAAAATAATAATAGATGTAAAATGAAGCACAGAACTAGGGTTAGACCTAAGACGTTGGTGACAGTGGGTCAAAGGGACACAGTCCACAGGTCAGAAGCCCTTGCCCAGAAGACCAGGTAAATTGCAAAAGGTGCCAGTTCCTGGGTGGGGCTTGTGACTGCAAAGGTAGGGTGGGGGACAGCAAGGGAGGAGGGGGTGGCGGCCTCACTGAGGTTCTGCAGCACACGGTCGCGCTCCAGTTGCGTGTCTCGGATCTTGTTCTGCAGCAGAATCAGCTTCTCCTCATACTGGTGCTTGAGAGTCTGCAGCCGCCGCTGGCTGTTCTCCAGCTCGTCAATCAGTTTCTGCTTGATCTCGATCTCACATGTCAGGTCAGCCAGGTCTGCCTGGAAGTTCACCTCTGTGGGGGCAGAGACAAGCTCAATGCAGTTCAGGGGGCTGAGGGTGGGGTGGGGGCGCTGGGGCTCTCCTTCCTCTGCTCAGCCATGACCAGTCCACTACCAGATAAATCCCATGGTGGGTAAGGGTGACTCATTGGAAGCCTAGCCTCAGAAATTCAGGGCTGGCCCAGGAGCTAGGTGGGGGGGTCTAGGCATCCCACCACCCCTGCTGTGCCCCAGAGGCCAACGTCTACCTGTCATAGATGGCATGGGACCCAGGCTGGGTGGAGAAGGAGGGCTGTGGGTCAAAAATGGCAGCAGGGCAGAGTTGACAGAGTGGGTGTTCCTACGTTTTGGCACCAGCCAGACCTACGTTCAAGTCTTGGCTCTTGCATCTACCACGCTGGGGAAAACCACTAGGCTTCTCTGAGCTTGGGGTGTTCCTAACACCTATGCACAGGGTTGTAGTGAGAACTGAATGACCCAGGCCAAAGGGGTGGAGCTCAGCAGTGCCTGGCATATGACACATGCTCGGTAAGTGCCTGCTGCCGCCCTTTTCATTACTGTTGTCTTTACTGTTGATGGTGGTGGTGGTGGTGATGGTGGTGGTGGTATCTTGTCTGGGAGTCCCGAGCCCTGGACATCCATACTCTTTGAGAACTCAGTTAAGGCCTGACCCCCTTAAGAGGAGACTGACCCCCACCTCCCCCGCCTCCTCGGGGCATCTGGCTCAGGGACTTGATACCAGAAGGTCTGTGCAGTTTCTCTGGGCCCAGTGCTGACGGGCAGCCTGCTCCATGCACCCACCACTGAGTGTGTCGCTTCCCCCTGCCCCGGCCCGGGCGCACGCACCCTTCTCGTCAGGGTCTGAGTCCGAGTCCACCAGGCTCTCCTCACTACCCGAGTCCTCGTCTTCATCCTCACGCCCCTCCTCCTCCTCACAGCCACTTTCGTCTCGCTCTTCCTCCTCCTGGACACCAAGCAGCGTTAGGGGAGGCCAGCGGCCCCTCCTCACTCAGGCTGGGCCTGGCCTCAGGGAAGGGAGTCCAGAAGCAGAAGGAGTCTGGACAAAGCCTCAGGTGTGTCAGGAGGGTGGGGAACCGGGCAGATGAGGCTCAGGGCCCCTTGTGCCCATCCCCAGTCCTGAAAGAGTACCACCCGACCCCCTCCTCCAGCAGCCTGAGCAGAGCCCCTCTGGGAGAGCCTCCCCATCCGGCCTCACCCGTTTGGAATGAGGTGGGGGCCTGAGGGATGAAGAACACCAGGGCACCCAGTATGAGGACGCTCGGGGATCAATTCAACCAGAGGCAGAGCCAAGCCCTCTCCCATCCGGCCAAGGTAGCCATGGGGACCCCTCCGCTCAGCAGGGACATGGGGGTAAGCATGGAGATGGGAGGGGACGGGGCAGTCCCTCACCTCCTCAGCCTCATTCTCGTCGGTCTCCTCACTGTTTTCCTGTTGGAGTTTTGCCCTCTTTTTGAAGGCCTCCTTCTCTGGGCTGCCCAGGAGTGAAGGGTGCCAGGTTAGCTTTGCGCATGTGGTGGGGGGTCGTAAGGGTGGGACAGCAATGTCTTGTCCAGAGGCCAGGAGGATGGGGCTGGGCTCCTGTTCTGCAGAGAACGTGGCTGCTCTTCTCTACCCCCAATCTGGAATTAACCCTGGGTAATCTCCACCCTCCCTCTCCTCGGGGGAAAGTGCAGCATTAGAGAAAGGAGAGGGGCTTTTGCCCAAACGCCTGAGCAAATGTGCTCAGTGAGTTCCCAAGTAGCCCTGGGGCAGCCACCCGCTAAACACAAGCGGGAGCGGGAGCCCTCCGCGCACCTCTTTCTCCGCTGCCTGATCTCTTTCTTCTTGAGCCGCTCCAGGTCCTGCTTGGCCCTGCGGATCACTTCCGAGGCATCCTCCATGGAGCTGGCTGGGCTGCCCCCAAAGGCCGGAGCCCCAGGAGATGCACCCAGGGAGTAGGGGCTCCGAGCCGAGGCCCGAGACAGGCTGCGGCGCAGGGACTCATTCATGGCCTCGCTCTCCAGGAGCTTCGTCCTGCGTGGGGAGAGCAAGGGGTTGGGGCCAGGTGCGCCGGCATCGCCCTGGGCTCTGGCCCAGCCCATGCCCTCCACCATTCCCAGATAGGCTGGGGCTCACTCACCGCAGCTCCTCAATCTCCCGGATGTAGTTCTGGATCAGAGCCCCGATGGCTTCATTGCCATCACCTGGAGGGGGAAGGCGGCAAGGAGAAAGCAATAAAGGTAAGGAATGGTAAGGACCTGCGGCTCAAGCTGGTGGTCCTGTACCTGTGCGTCCAGCAAGACAGCACATGTGAGCCTTTCACTAAAAGGAATCTACATCAAAGAAAGATGCATACGTGTGCACAGATGTACACAAGCACTGTTGGTAAGAGCACGAAATCGGAAACAACCAAGGTCCATCCCCAGGGGGCTGGTACCAGATACTGTTCGTCATCGGCACATATGGAACACTGCACAGCTCAAAAGAATTAAGTACATTTACCTGTTTAATATGGAAAGATGTCCAAAGCATAATGCCAAGTGATAATGGGAAGTCATAGGACAATACATATGATCCCACATACAGAAAAAGGCACTATGTATTCACACACGTATATGTGCGCACATCCATATGAATATATATCCAGGCTTGGAGCAAAGGCATGGGAAAATGTGCACAGAGCTACTTCTGAGAAGTAGAGAGAGTTTAGTGAGAAGGGGTTTTAACCTCTACTTCATGCATATTAAGCAAGGAGGATGGATTCATGTACTACTTGTGTCATAAAAAAAGGTTTAAAATCATGGGAGGGGCTTCTGGGTGGCTCAGTCGGTTAAGCGTCCAACTTCGGCTCAGGTCATGATCTCACGGTTCGTGGGTTCAAGCCCTGCATCAGGCTCTGTGCTGACAGCTCAGAGCCTGGAGCCTGCTTCAGAATTTATATCTCCCTCTCTCTCTGCCCCTCCCCTGCTCATGCTCTGTCTTTCTCTCTCTCAAAAATAAATAAACATTAGAATTTTTTAAATAATAAATAGAAAAATAAAATTGACTGAGAAAAAAATGCCTAAATGCATCAATCTGTGTGTGAATTGATCGGCTGGCTGAGCTTGCCTGATGTCCTAGGGTGAGTATGGGGAAAAGGAGCCCCAGCCTGTTGGTGTCCGAGCTGGCCTGGTGCACCCCAACTCACCGGCCTTGGCCAGAAGCAGATTGGCCTCCTGGCTCATGAGATGGGTGACGCGGTTGTTGATGGCATCGATGGCTTCCTGCATGGCCTTCACCCGCAGACGCAATGCCCCATTCTCCTTCTGCAGCATGGCATTCTCCCGGAACAGGTCGCTGTAGCCCTCGGCACCATCCTCTCCGATCACCCTCTTGCCCTGGGAGGAGGGGCAGGCGGGGGGGCAGGGGGGGTCAGGTGCCAGAGCACACAGGGTGGGGAAGGGCTGATGATGCACGGAACAGTGCTGCTGGTCTCCCCCTGCCTCATGTTTCCCCAAACACGACTCCTGTCTCCCAGTGCGCCCCTTGGCCACCAGAAAGTCCAAATTCTATAACCAGCCTTTCCAAGCCTCCCCTAGTCTCACCTTTCCACAGCCTACCTTCATATCGCTGTAAGTGCTAACCCGAGGGCCAAACCCTCAAGGGGCCCAGGCAGTTAGCATAAATGAGGAAATCAGTCTGGGTACAAGACAACAGGGAGTGGTGGGGACTGGGGTTAACAGAGCCAGGGCTCTGGGCATTAACTATGCCACACCAGCCAACTTAGTGCTATCTGTTATTAGACCTTCCCATTTTTCAGGAAGAACTAAAATTTCCCGATTTTCAGAAAGGTAGACAACAAAGCTGTGTTATTTTAAAACAAAGGGCAAGCCAAACCAAACCCCATTTGTGTACCAGATTCAAGCCACGGGCTACCAGCAGCCATTGACTTTTGCCTCAGTCTCGTGGAATTAGACACTCCCCCAAGAAGCACCCACGTTTTCCATCTCTGTTCCTTTGCCCATGACTTGTTCACATCCCAGAATGCCTGTTCCACTTGCTTTTGATAATATCTCATTCACATTTTCAAAAGACCATACAAAACGCCCCCCACCCCCCCATGCAGCCTTCCCTGACTGACCACCTGAGTGAGTGGTCAGTCACCAGTGAGTGAGCTCCAGGAGAGGGCCAGCTCTCTCCTCTGCCCCGCCCCCAGGCACACTGAGCTACTCATGTGGTCCCCATCAATTCTTCTTCTTCTGTACCAAAGTCTAGGAGTCTCATCTGGTCCAACGCAGCCTATTCCACAAACATGGAAACACCCACCAGAGTGTGTGTCCTTGTGCATAAAGGCTCTGCAACAGAAGCTGAGTTCCCTCCTTTCTCTGGGGGCTCTGACAGTGCTCCCTTCACCCAGGGGAGCCCCCCATTTATGGGTGGCACATTGCCGGTACTCAGGACAATGGGTGGGAAGGGGACGGAGGGGTGGGAGGGACACTGAAGAATAGGGGCCCGCCAAGCCCAGGGGGTGTGCTCACCGCCTTGTACTCCATCAGCTCCATCTGCAGGCGTGCAATCTCAGCCCGCAGGGCGCTGATCTGCTGGCTCGTCTTGTCCTGGTTCACCACCACCTTGTTCTTGATGTTGCGGGCCCGATTGGCGTACTTGAGTGTGTTGAGCGTCTCCATGAAGTCCCGGTCTGATGGGCTCACACAGGCAATCATGATGGTCTGGCTGGAGGCGGGGGGGTGGGGGGGGGAGAGTGTGCAGTGGGAGAGTGAGGTTCAAGGGGCACAGCCAGGCCCCCAGAAGCATTGCCTCAGGGCAGAACTGAGGTTGCTCCCAACCCATTCCCCTACTATCCCAAGGCCCTAAGGGCCTGGGCATTCACCAGGGCAGAACCTGGGATGGGGGGCCCCTGGACCACCTAGCCAAGGGCTTCCTCACGTTGGTGGTAACCCACAGTGAAGGCAGCGGGCAGCTTGTGATGTGTCACTGCCAGCCACGGCTCTGTAGTTGCCTAGTAGTTCCCCTCCATTACCCCATTTGGGCTCTATCACTCTAAGACCCTCTCTCCCAGTTGCATAGACAAAGCCAAGTCCAACCATGTTGGCTAAAGGTCGTGCAGCATCTTAAGCCTCCTGTCTCCCAAGCCCACAGCCTGCAGTGGGAAGGCCCCTTCACCCATGAGGTCCTCATGAACCGAACCCTCACATCGATATTCTCCAGGAGGTTCCTGCCTACCCTGGCCCTCCCCTGGAGGTTGGCTGTAGGGTACCTGTTGCCCCCCAGCGAGTCCTGGAGGAGCCGAGTGAGCTTGGAGTCCCTGTAGGGCACGTGTACCACCTTCTTGCTCTGGTCCCCCAAGGCGCTGATCACGTTGCCCAAGGCCAGCTGTGGGAGACAGACCCTGGCACTTGAGAGGCACTCAGGGAGAGAGGGAGTGGGGACAAGACAGCCCCGAGCCACCTGTACCTGCCTCAATGACCCAGCAGCCCTTGGAGAGTTTCTATGGTGATGTGATCATTTGGTAAAGTCAGGAACTGGGCCAAGGGTGAGGGTGAAGGAGGAAGGGCCTCACAGTAGGGACATATGGGTGGCCTGGGCAGCAAGAGGCCCAAGGAGGACTGGGCAGCCGTGGCCATAGGGTCTGGAAGGGGTCTGAGACTGGGCTGTGCCGGCTGCCGGGGCTGGTGACCTGCCATGGGTGCCTACCAGGCCACAGTTGATGGAGATGCCCTCCTTGGCCCGCTCGCCGGTGGCCCCCGTCCGCTTCAGCCGCTCTGAGCCAGCCAGGTCCACAAAGTGAAACTTGGCGGTGAGCGTCTCATACTCACTTGTGGGAGCTGTGCCCTCAGGAAGCCCAGTCACAGCCTCGTTCACCTGTGGCAGAGGTCACGTCTGACTCACCTGGCCCTTGCCCCGCCTTGCTGCTCCTCTGCTCTCAGCCCTCATCCTTCAATAATCCCGGAGGGGGGCGTGGGGCCGGGAGCCAGGGCAGGGCTGCAGGCGCCTCTCCCCTTGCACAGGCAGAGCATCCGACCGTGTGCCCAGTAATCACACATGCCTGATTCTCATGTAACCCTCAAAACCACAGACGCACGGTTCCCCCATTGTACAGGTGGGTAACTGAGGCTTAAGGGAAAAGCAAAAGAAAAATCACCAAGTGGCAGAGGCAAACACCAAGCCCGGATTTGCTAGCTTGGGATCCACAGCTCCTTCCTCACCCCGCCCTGCTGAGAAGCCCCCATAATACACCAGCTCCCGGGCCCCTGCGGGAGCCTTACTGGGTCGGGCTGCGTGCACACTCGCATCTGGCACACGTGGATGGTGAAGATGGCGTGTGAGCGGGAGCTCTGCACGTTCATCTGGGTGCTGGCCGTGGTGCGGGACAGGGCCCCCTGCTTCAGGCACTGGATCAGCTGGGGAGGGAGGCATACGTGAGGACAGAAGACCGGTGATGGAGTCGGGCCCCGACTGCCCTGGACCTTTAGTGGATGCTCACCTCCTCCTGGGAGCTGATGAGACGGGACGTGACGCCCGTGGTGTAGATGCCACCATTCCCATCTTCGTGGATCTTGATGTTAGACCTGCGGTGGCGGGCGTCAGGGTCACGGGTGCTATCAAACAGGTCAAGGATCTCCTCGTTGTAGAGCTGGGTGGGGGCAGAAACAGCTGCTGGGTTTATGTGGTACATGGTGTGGAGCCCCAAGGGGCTTTCCTGCATTTGTAAATCAATTCCATTTTGCAGATATGGAAAGTGAGGCTCTGGGAGGTGAACCTGTCAACACTGGCTCCCTCTAGGTTCTAGATTCCATGGTCTTTCTCAACAGGTATGGGGCGGGGGGCAGCTGGGTCCTGGGCAGAACTGTATTGAGGCTGTGTTTCCACTCCCCAAGGAACCAGCATTCAGCAGCTTTCAGTCTTGGCAAGGGACTAATGACCTAAAGGAATCAAGGGGACTCAAGGTCCCAGATGTAAATGAGGAAGATATGACCGTGATGTGGGCAGATCCTATTATGTTTGTTTGTAGGCTAGGAAAGGGGGAGGGATGTGGTTTCAGATGAGGGAGGGGAGAGGCAGAGCTCAGTAGAGACTGATGATCCCTGGGGTTGAGGCGATGACAACCTCCCAATGCGGAAAGAATATGAGCATGGAGAGAGCATGCCCTTGGGGCCTGGCATCCTGGGGAGAGTGTGCAGGGACCACTGGGGGAGGTGACCGGGCCAGGAGCAGTCACCTTATTTCACATGCTCTCAATCTCAAAGATTCCTGTGTTTGGAATCCCTGCAGGGAAAACTTCACCTGCTGAAGAGCTGGGCTCTTCCCCAGGTTGGGGGGCTGGGTCTGGGGAATGGGAAAAGGGACAGGGCAGCTTGGCCAGCGGCCAACAGAATCCTGTGGGGGAGGGGCAGGCTGCAGCCCTCTGACATCCGAGGCTTTGATGCCTTAAAGAAACAGAAATACTCTACAGGAAGGGGAAGGGGAAACGGAAGGGACTGGTGCAGAGGTGGGTGCCATGGTGCCTGTCTGTCTGTTGGGACAGGCGCACGGCATCATTTAACCCCTTGTGGTTCCCCCTTTGGCATGAGTTTTCTAGGAACTGCCCTACTCTTTGGGGATTCCCATGGCAACAGAATAGAGGAAAGAAGAAAACAAAGAAATGGAAAAGTTTGTAGAGATACACAGCAGTAGGACACACACACACACACACACACACACACACACACACACACACAGAGGGGGTCACTTTATCAGAAGCCAAAAGCCCAGAAGGACAAAGAAAAACTCTCACATCTAAAATACAGGGTCCTCTAAGGGGAAAGTAGATGCTCTGAGTGCCCAGGAGGGACAAGCAGTGGTGCGGTGGGCAGGGTGGGCCATGGAAGACCTACAGAGGGCTGGAGCCACATCCCTCCCTCATAGGGCACCCTGGGTACAACCAGAGCCCAGGGCAGCCCCCACCCAGCAAATGCCCCAGAGCCAGGGGTTGGGGGTCTATGGGTTGGAGCTTCAGATGCTGAGAACTGAAGGCACCTGGTTCAAGTGTCCCAAGGGAGGTGCCTGGTCAAGTCAGGCACCCATGAGAAGTATCCAGGTCCACTTGCTTCCTTACAGACCTTTCTGGGAGGCCCTTTATAGGCCAAAGATCCCTTCCTCTACCCCCAAAACCCCCAGATACCAAAATCCTGGCCTTGGCACACAGACATTCTCCCAGAGAGAGGAAGGACTAATTGCAAAGAAAAGCTCCTTCTGGAGGACCTTCCTCCCCTTGGGGTCAGAGAAGACTCAGAGGGTCAGGAGGGACCTTGGGCAGAAAGGGACAGGGTAGGCCCTCTGAGACTGGGGAGCAACCAGGCAGGCCAAGGACTTCAAGTGCCAGGCATATGTGACCATGTCATCATTACAAAACCCGTAAGGAAATAGATATTAGAGTCACCGTTGTGCAGTGGTGACATGATGTGCCCAAGGTTACATAGCTAATAAGTGTCAGAGCTGAGAATCAGTCAGGGTTTGAAGAGATCTTAAAGGTTCTCATTCACTTAAGCCCATCTTCTTCTTTTTTAAAGTATTTATTTTTGAGAAAGAGAGAGAGAGAAGAGTGGCAGAGAGAGAGGGAGACACAGAATCTGAAGCAGGCTCTAGGCTCCGAGCTGTCAGCACAGAGCCTGATGCAGGGCTCAAACCCACAAACTGTGACATCATGACCTCAGCTGAAGTTGGACACTTAACCGAGATGCCCTGACTGAAGCCCTTTCTGATCCAGGAAACCACTTCAGAGTGTCCCACCAGTGGCCTTCTAGCTCTTGCTTGGATACTTCCAACAGTAGGATATTTATCAGCTATAGATGCTGCCATGGCTCCCTAGGCTCATTCCACCGTCCTGGGGGTATGCCCAGCTTCCGTGGTCTTGCTGTCCCCCACGTCTCCCTCCTGCCCACCCTACCAGGCCACAGTACCTCCAGGAACTGAGCACTGACTTTGAACTCAGGCCCAGCCACGCCCTGCTCCTGTGCCCGCCGCTTGCGCTCAGCAATGCCCCCAAAGAGGTGTGCGATGGCCCTTGGAATGATGCCTTGCTCCTCCTCCGATGTCGCCGTGTCGAAGCCGGTGCCCATAGTGTATGTCTTCCCGGCCCCTGTCTGCATCCGCAAAGATGGAAGGAGGGGGTTAGACAGCACCCTCTGGGGAGCATCAGCAAGCCCTGGGCCCCAGGCTGGACAGAATTCCTTATCATTCACCACCCAGCCTGTCACCTGTCCCTCCGGGTCCCAAAGCCACACCCTGCAGAAATCCCTTCTGACTGACAGCCTCCCTCTGATAACTAGCCAGGCTGCAGCATCCACAGGTGACAGACAAGACCACGACTCCATTGCAAGCACTCTCTGAAGGGCCAGGGCTCTCTCTTCCACCAGGCGGGGTGATTGGGGTCAGAGTGGCCCTTGGTGGGGGTAGAGGCGGCTTACCTGCCCGTAGGCCAGCACCGTGGCATTGTAGCCCTCAAAACAGCCCTCAATGAGCTTGCTCACACAGGTCGAATAGATCTGTTCCTGCCAGGTGTCCAGGTCGAAGACAAAGTCATAGGTGAAGGCCTTGTCCTTCCCCAGAAGGACCTGGGGCTCCCCCGGGGTGACAGAGGTGCAGATGTGACAGCCCTCAATCTTCTCCTTTGACAGCTGGGGCCGAATCCTGCCAGGGACGGGGAGAGCCCCAGGTCAGACCCAGCCAGCAGGGGACTGCTGTGGCTCTCCTCTGCCTCATCTGTCTGCCAAGCCTCCACTCCCCCCAACCCCCACAGCTGGAGGAGAAGGAAGGAAGCTTAGGAGCCTCCCCAGAGAATGGAAGCAACTTTTGTAATAATACGACAATAGTAATAATAAATCAACACCACCCAAACATTTATTGAGCAGTTGCTAATATTTATTGAGCACTCTATATATTGGATCTGTGCTAAAAGTATTTTACATAAATGAGGTCATGTCTTCTTCACTATAAATCTGTGAGGTATATATTATCGGCCTGATTTTACAGACGCGGAAACTGAGGCTGAGGGACTCGAAGCGACTTGCCCAAGGTCATACAGTGGGATGTGACAGAACCAAATCCACATCCAGCATTAAAGTATACATCCCTGACAGAACAGAGAGCCCTAGAATTAGTGTCCCACAGATGGGGAAGGGAGGACAGCTTGCCCCCTTCTGGGGAGGGAAGGCTCAGCACCAGGGTGGGGACTGGAGGGACAGTCCCGGCTGCTCCCCTCAGGACTCAATTAAAGAGCAAACCAGAGCCTCCGCCGTGGCCTGCAGAGGCCGCATGAGTCCTCCAGCTGCGGAGCCCCCTCTCAGATGCCAGAGCCTGGTGCAACATTCTGAGGCACTGGCTCCGGTTCCTCTCTGGGGGCCCAGGGGGACAGACCAAGCACAGCCCTGACAGAGCAGGCCAAGTCAAAAGTCCACTGAGAAGGGCAGAGACCTCGAAGAGGGATACCAGGCCTGCCACTGTCCTGGACCCCAATTCCAGATCCTGCTGGGCTCCCTTATAGTGAAGAAGAAAAATGGCACCAGAGCTGGGTGGGAGCCAGCCATAGATAGGGCTATCTCCATCCAGCCACCTCTTCTCCCTCTTCCAAGCAGCCATTGCCATGGCAGGGTCCCCATGGCAACCAAGTGTGAGTCAGTGAGCATGCGTTGTAGGGACTGGCAGAAAAGCACTTCCCAAATGCCTAAAATAAAAGAGGGGTGGGTTCGGCGCTGACGCTCATGGGCTCACAGAAGCCAGCCCTATCAGCCAGGCGCTTACAATGGGCTACTTGTCAGGCTCCCCTTCCCAAAGCCAACATTTACCAAGAGAAGAATGAGCGGCCCAGGCCAGCATGCATCCAGGGCCCAGTGTGGGGCATCTAGCCACAGAGCCAGGGCCACCGAGTCGCCATCCTGTCACCGTCCGGGGGCTTCCCCAGCCCCCAAGGCCCACTCAGAGCTGCAGGCCAGGGGAGATGCTCCCCTCAGCCTGTTGCCTACACTTTGCTGCCAGAAGGTCAAAGGGGACTGGGGAGGGGAGATAACTCCCTGGGGGAGGGTATGGGGAAGTTAGCTACACCAGGCCCAGTCCACACCACAGATGGTAGCCTGGGTTTTTTTCAGAAGTGGTTTCCCTTAGGCGTCAACAGGTCCTCAGAGGTCAGTGGCTCTCCCCTCACCAAGGCTGACGGGAAGGGAAGGTTACCACCTTCATCCACCCTATCCAGCTGTTCCAGGTCATGTTGAAATTAGAACTCAGCTTCCCAGTCCCCCCACTGAACGGTGTTCTCACTGGAAAGGGAGCAGCTGATTCTTGCTCATCCTCTCTGGACCTGCAGATTAGAAACTTGACCCACACCAGGAGGCAGACTGGGCCAGCAATTCTGCTACCTTGACCACTAATGGTGGCAACAGACACACGTTCACACTCACTCTATGCCAGGGAGTGTCTAAGCTCGGACATACACTAACTCTCGATCCTCAAGAGAACATCTGAGGTGAATACTACCTCATTTGTAGAGGTAGAAAATGAGACGATGCCCAGTTAGTCACAGACAGTAAGGAACAGAGCGGGGTTTGAACTCTGTGTGTGTGTGTGTGTGTGCGCGCGCGCGCGCGTACGCGCACCTGCAGCTTCAACACTTTTTTTTTTAATGTTTTTTTTTTTTTTTATTTCTAGGAGAGAGAGAGAGAGAGACAGCGTGAGCAGGGGAGGGTCAGAGAGAGAGGGAGTCACAGACTGAAACAGGCTCCAGGCTCTGAGCTGGCAGTCAGCACAGAGCCCGACGCGGGGCTCGAACCCACGAACCGCGAGATCATGACCTAAGCGAAAGTCGGACGCTTAACCGACTAAGCCGCCCAGGCGCCCCGCAGCTTCAACACTTCTAGGCCACAGTGTCAGTAAGGGCAGGGCTTAGTGGGCCAGGGGGTAAGAGTGGCTCATATACACAGGGAGGCTTGACAGGCAGCACTTCTAGGGTGGGGGGGTGTGGCACTGGTCACAAGGCACCAGGTAGGCACCTGGAGCTCTGGCCCTCAGACGTGGAAGACCAAATACTTCCTGCCCAGGGCTTCCAGGTGTTCCCATGTGAACCCAGTGGCTGGCCTGGGAAGGCCCCGAGGAGTTTCTAGCATTGCTGGCTAGCGCTAACTCCGGAAGACACCCTCCCTACCATGTGGGCTGCTTGTGATAGGATTTCTGGATCCAATTCAAATACCATTTAATTACTCCAGGCAGATGGCAGTGCTGGTGATTGGAGGAAATCGAATCAGGACCCCTGGAGACAGTGAGAGCAGGGGAGGGGGAGCAGCAGCTCTGCCCATCAGGGCCCATCCATGAGGAGGGCAGCTTTTCCTTCAACAAGCAGTCCCCAGAACACTGGAGAGCGCACCTGCCAGGAGCAAGATGGCTGGCAGAAGAGCAGTCTGGGAAAGAGGATGGAGAAGAGGGGTTCAAGGATTTAGGGTCCAGGAATTGTGGAGTCAGTCAGGCATTCACCCTGGGGTGTGAGGCCCAGCACATCTTGATGTGGGGGTCCTCTGTGGTCAGAGAGAGCCAGCCGGCCCCAGGGTGGCTCCCTGTAAGCACCAGGGTGCTTTGCAGGGTGCAGATGGGTGAGCAGTGTTACCCAGAGGAAAGGGTACCAGCTGGTAGACAGTACATGGGCTTAGGAAGAGTCACTAATTCCCACTAACCCAGAAGAAGGAGAGAGTGTCAGTCCCAGGAATGGGACTTGAATGAGTAACTGAAGGTGGAAGCAAAGGAGAATTAAGATTTTATACGTGCTAGCCGGGCCAGGCGCACCCGCCACAGACTAGCTCACTTAAGTGATGCAGTGAGCTAGGGATTTCAATGCCCATTTTCCAGAGAGGAAAGTTGAGGCTTCAAGTGATTAAGTAACACACACAGTAAATACAGTGAAACTGGGTATCAATTCCTGCTCTGCTTGACTTCAGATGAAACCTGCAGGCTGTTCTGCTTCTCCAGCTACCTCCTTCCCCGGGAAACTCTCAACCCCCAAATCAATAGATAAGCTTTCTCCTATAAAAGGGCTGTTAGAGCCAGGGAGGCGCTCTGGAGGGAATCCTGCTACATCTATCTGTCCATGCGTGCCCCAGGCCAGGCACCAGGCTGGCCCTGCCGTCTGGGCTTGCAATCCAGCAGGAGCAGACATTATGTCTCAGCTGTCCTGGGGCTCACTCCTCACCACCCAGTGGAGCATTCGAACACACACCCCACAGGTAGGAGACCAGAGGGCTGGAAGATAAGAGTCCAAGGTCCTTGACAAGCCTCTGCCCCACCCCCTACTCTCTTCTTATTCACGAACCCCTGCTTCTTCCTGTGTCTAATCTCTTCCCAGTTTTAACTTTCTAAGAACTCCATCACCTTCCCCTCCAGCAGCCTCCCCTCCTGGCCCCACCCTGGGGGAGGTCACTTCTGTGGGCTGGCCGAGGGCAGATAAGGGGAAGGACGATGCTTCCAGTTACTGCGGGGTGGTGGGAAGGGGAGCCACGCACGGCCCTGCTCCTTCCGGCGGACATGGGAGGGGGGCCAGGGATGGAAACCCGACTTCTAGGGTCTTCCAAGTAAACTACAGACTCCAGGAGCTGCGGACCAGATCCGGGACTAGGACGAGGTGAGTGAGGTATTCGCCACAAGTGCAAAATTAACGGGGTATGAAAAAACGCAGTAATCGAGATAAATTATAATTTAATGCATTATTTGAAAAGCTCCAATCGGCAGACAATGGCCCCGCGGGCCAGCTCTGCGTTTTTGTCATTAGTCATGTGGACCACGCATCCAATGTCATTTCTGTCCGGGGACCACTGGGCCCAGGGAGACCCTCACCCCAAGCCCTTCCCCTCCAAAGCCTCCCTCCACCCCTTCTGCCGGCCCGGGCAGGGAGGGAAGGGGGCGGGCCTGACAGCCCCGCGCAGAAAGGCTCCCGGAACCTCCCTGAACAGAGCCGGGTCTATTTGCCGCTTGGCAACCCGCAGACCGAGCGGCGGTGGGAGCGGGCGCGAGCGCGAAGAGAAAGGGCCCCGGGCTTTTCAGAGGCAGGATCTGGCACGGGCGCGTGGCCGCTGGGCTTCCTCTGCTCACAATTGAGCAGAAGCTGGTGTGATGTGGGCGGTTATTTTAATATCCTTCCCTCACCGCCGGAGAAATGTGCACCGGCCGAGGGGCGCGCAGGCGGCTGGGGGTCGGCCCCCCACGCGTCGGTGCCGGTGGCGGCGGCGGGACAAAGGCCGCGAACCCGAGCCCGGCGCTGCGGAAAGAGCTGAGCTCAGCGGTTCCGCAGCTCCCTGGGAAGCCAGAGGAGACCGGGAGGAGGCCGGCCCCGAGGCATGCGGAGAGACTGCCCGGGAGAAAAGCGCTGCGAGGGGTAGCGAGCCCAGAGCCCCCACGCCCTACCCCCTGGCTTAGGAGGGGGAGGATGAGGCTAGCTCCCCTCACCCCCGCCCCTTCCTCAGTGACATCACACAGAGCCAGCCAATCGCCGCCCCCCGGGGGCTCCGCCCAGTGACCTTGGGCTCCTAAGGGTTGGCTCCGCAGCTCAGGTGAAATTAGTCCCACCCCATCAGCCGGCTAGGGCCCTTCCCTGGGCTCTTAAATTGAATTGCCCCCCCCCCCCCAGTTAGGAGCTCAGTATCCTGAGCTCTTAAGGG